GATTGGAATGTCATGATGATGATTTGAAGGATGATGAGATGTGTGAAATAGTAACATTAACTTGACAATAAGCCAATGAAAACTGGCCAGTGTTATATGTATGTTAGTGTATTTGGGGTACTACGGAGAACTCAACTGACAGGAATAAAGAGTAAACTTCATAAACTGGGAAGAAAGGTGTTGTTTAACTCGGCGAGGGATGCTTTACAAGTGTACTATAACTATATATTGCTAATGTGTTCAGTGACTAGGGCAGATGGCTGAACTACTCGTAAATTATAAATGATGGGAACTCAAATGGCTGTCACAATTCTTGTGCAATTACACATTATGATGCGTTCCTCCATTGTTTTGGATATTCAGTTCAATTTCGTTGTTCGCTGAATTTTTGCCACCGCCCATGTAATCGTCATTGTGTCCGATGACAGGTAGCGTCCGGCCCGGTAAATCAATGCCCGTTATGTACAACAGTCATCGCTTATGTGCTTATGTATTCCTGGTATATAGGCAACGTATGTATTGGTATAGTGGATACGCGTGTACGTAGATAATCTCGTCATAGCTCGCACCCGTTATGGTATTACTGTGTGTGGGCGAGGGGAGGTCCAGGGTGTGAGAGGGGGCGCGCGAGCCCGCGAGTGCCGCAGGGGGCGCTGTCCGCTTTAAAAATACTAGGGCGCAAGCGGCGGGCGAAACTACCGAGCAAGCAGAATGCTAAAGGAAGCCGTTTATTTTGAAAGACCGAAGACTTTCAACTCGCCTCTGCGCTCCTTGCAGAGACGGGTAAAAAGTTGTAAGGACGGCGAATAAAAAAATGCGAACCCCGTTGTAGCTATTAGCTGCGCCAGCAAAAATGTTTTTGGCTCATGAGACCGGCTGTTTACACGAGTGTTTGCGCGTGAAAAGTTAATCCAGTTTAAGTAATCTACAGAATTGATAAACTTGCCCGTCTCAAGATAGCTGGCTAGCAATTTTCGCATAACAAACTTTAGTAAGAAGTAAAATTTCACTTAAAGTAAAACCCGAGTGGTCGAGGGGTAGGTGTCTAAAAACTTTCTTCTCCTCAAGTTTGGAGGAGCCACAGGTCGAATGAACCATAACTTACCTAAATCACAATCAATACACGTCCGACAAAAATATGTTAGTGTGAGCACAGTAAGGATGTGGTCGCCGGCCGGCTCATTATCGATAATCACGGCATCGTGTTTAACGGCCTTTGACGTTCGAAAAGCTCGAAATTTGTATTTTGTTCGTATTTTCATAATTGGGCGGGTGGGGGCACGGGTGCGAGGTGGCGCCGCGGGCGTCATCGGCCCCCTTCGCGTGGGTATTTAATGATTATACGCTGACTGCCACCTGATTGCTGGCACTCTGACGCGCTATCGATGATTACTTGTTGTCGATAAATTGATTGCTGTGGATAGTGGACTACTGCTTGCCTGATCTTTGCTGATAGATAATAATAATTAATGACCTGGACAAATGCTTTAAGGTTATGATAAAATGAAGTATAAGATACGTATATTTGTAAATTTGCTGTTGTGTTTATCCATTTCTTGTGTTCTTAATAAACTGGGTCGAACATTTCCAAACATAAATTGTTTTCAGCAAGTTTTCTTTTGCATGATCTTGATCATGTTCATCAATTATTTTTTATACCAACGTTTTTTGGGGTTTTGACTGCCAATAAAAAACTGTTGAAGGCAAATCCTCTGCTAACTTCGGTTACCGGTGACCCCCATGGCGTTTAATGTGTTAAAAGCAATTGCTTTTGACACATTACAGGAAGCATAATTAAGAAAGGTTAAATTAACCTTTTTTGTCTACTATTCTTATTTCAAAACTCCAGTACAAATAAATGTTGAATGATAGTTTGTATCGAGTATCGATAGTCGCGATGGTGTCGCAGCAGTGTCGCAGCGCGATCACTCGCGGGGTGGCAAGCACTACACGGTAACACGCGGAGTGCCGGAGGGGGGCGAGGGGGGCATACCGCAGTACATAGCCCATGTATCAGTACATACCGGGCCCTCAGCACATAACCGCTGCTGGATTCCCGAAATTTTGCAGTTATTTTGTATGGAAAACTAGGTTATTCCGCGATTTATTCGTCTATCGCCTGATGACCTGCCGAACCCCCGCAGTTTACGTCACGCTAAGTTATAACCAACTCCCCGGCTTATATCAACGTTCCACACAAAGTAACACCAACTTAACTCGAGCAGATTCAACAAAGAATTTTCCTAAAAATTCTTCGACCGACTTCCCTTTTGATAATGCGCCAGAGAAGTTAAAACAACTTATCAAACTTTGTGCTCACTTAAACAAATTATCTAAGGCAACGTCCACCAGCCCGTGCCTCCTACATACACTGCCTCAAATGGTAAATAAACGTATTCCTTGGATGCCTGACAAAGCCGCCATTAAGAATCAGTTAGGATGCTCGTTAAATGATCTAACTACACAAGTTAACCTTTAGCTTAATGACATGTTTGCACTAACTGCGCGCAAGTGTACTTATACACGTATGTACGCACCACTGCACCTTATCTGTCATTGAGGTGTAATTAATTACAGACTAAATTGCAATGGTATCAACCTAACTATAACTAGGTGCACATAACGCGAAGGGTCAACGGATATTTAGTGTCCGCATAGCAGATGCGGTCCTTGGCCACCGCCCTGAAGACGGTCGATATCTAGCTTGTCACCCCACCTAACTCCAAACTGCCTATGTACACCTGGTACTTAGACGACTTAAGTACTAGTTGTAGTTGTGCCTACCGAGCTATATTTGTCTTTGAATAAATAATTTCCAACTTTAAAACCCAAAGTGCGAATCGAGACACAATTAAACGTAATTATATTCAGGTGTCACTCGAGTAATACAATCAAAATACTTAAATGTAGGTTAGCTATTTATGATTTGAATAAATTATGTATTAAACAGGCTATTATTGTGCGAATTCCGAAGGCAGAATAACAAAATAAGAGCTAAGCTTTCATTACGTAAATCATAAAGCAAATCAAATTGTAAATTCAATAAGCGAATCGAAGAAACAAACCTCAAATTAAATAATCGTTAAATCGCGAACCCCTCTAATCTACAACACATTAATAAAAGTGGAAAGCAAATATTCAGACAGCGTACAATTTCCAAGCAAACTTCATAACGTATTCAATATTTTCAAGTAAACTTTTCCGCGCGGTAACTTAGTGTGGCTGTGAATTGATGACGCTTTGCATGGGATAGCTACCACTTGTTGAATGAAAATCTTCGTGTGTTTTCGTAAGTTTACGCCGACGTCAGCTGTTACAAAAGCGGAAAAATGCCGCTGCGCCATTCAAAGAGATTTTTTGTAAAGTTTTATTCGAGTTCACGAAGTGGTGTTGTTTTGTTTGACTTGTTTGTTTGTTTTGAATGCAGTGATATATTGAATTGGCTTAACGCATAACACATTTAGTCCATGTCGGATGTTTGAATAACATAGTATTTAATTATTGTTTTTGTAATTATTTGTGCAATCAAATCATAAAAGATGCAAATTCAGCCTAACGTTGTCGCAAGTAGTTTCTACTACAGAATAATGCACTATTTTCAAATAAGCAAATGACAGCGTAATTCAAAATTTCACTGTGGCAAGCTTCAAATTTTAATCCGTTCTAAATCTGTAGCAACATTTTAGCGGCCGGTTGGCGTGTCTATGTGTGCGTTAGAATGATAGGACCATTTGCAAACGTTTCGGCAATCGGGCACTTTATTTTGCAACGAACTATTTTAAAATAAGTTTTCTGTTCTTTTATTTGCATCTAATGAATTATCTCTTTGAATTCTTAGTCGCCCTGGTATTTTCTTTTCTTTACTAATGCATTTTTGAACCGTTCAGTCAGGTTCAGTCGGTAAAAACATTACGTAGGGAATTTCTATTATTCAGGATTTCACAGTTTCAGCTGTTTGTAAGGTGTGGCTTCGATTCCACATTGCGTTCATTTAAAATGTTCATAATACATAGTATTCCTTTGCGAAGATATTTTTTACCATTTATGTGGTATATAAAATAATGGAGGAAACGTATAATTAAGTCTAAGCACCTGTGCATTATTATCTAGAAAAACATGTGCGGAGACGTGACAAGTCGTAGGTCTGTTTTAGTATAAAAATGCTTTTGAAAATACCATATCTAGTATACTAGGAACATCGACTGACTAAGAATGAATTCACATTTACCTATAGTTCAATTATTTATACAAAAAACGGTTTTATTTTCTGAAAATAAGCCATTTAAAGTTAGCAAGATGTACCTATTTATAACGCGTCTCATCTTCAATGAACCAACTTTGTCGTACAGTTACGAACTCGGCTTCGGAAACTTCGTATTTGTCTCGGCTGTCGCCAACTCCTTTCGGGGACAACTGCTCCGAATACCTGCCCGCATTGACCAAAGTACTAGGGACCCAGCACACACGTGGTACTACATCCAGCTATATTTAGTGGCTTGTCCATTTGAAGCACTATCGATTTGCGTCCGCGGTTCAGAGCGTTGACCCGCCCAGCACTGCACAGCCGCCGGCCGTTTCGCTAATTTATTAATTATTTAAACTTACGAACGCGTATGATGTCCTGGTAGCGGGCATGCGTGAGCGTGATACTGGATCGCGGAAAATGGGGGGAGGATTCATCCCTGTTTTGTGAGTTGGTCGGATATGGCGTAAATGGACATTGTGTATGTATAGGTACCGACTCATCCCACATACACTTCACCCACATCGACTACCAAAATTTTATTGAAGCGAAATGTAGCCTGAATATCGACAATATTTATCACAGTTCTGTGAACAAAAACTATTGTCTTTCATCTGTTTTAATTAATCTTATGGTTATGTAAATTGAATTAAAACTTAAAAAACCCGCAATATCTTTTTAAAACTCAAAGACAACAATTTCATCTTAAATTTATTAAAATAAGTTTTTATTTAACAAATCCTCTTTTTTGTTACAGGACAACTTAACTCCCGAACCTGCGGACATGAACGACGACGACAATTTTTCTAGTAAGTATACACCACGAATCACTCCGAACGACCCATTGAAATCAAACCAAAAAAACATATACCCAGCCACTTGCATCACATCAATCTAAAAATTACCAGCATTTTATGCGAAAAGCGAAATTTCCCGAAAACTGCATAAAATGCTCCCAATTGGCTATTTTTTGAACAAAATTGTGTTTTAAAATGATATCAAAATTTCGAAAGATTCATTGGCTATGTGATCTGGTGCAGGTCAGGCCCTCGCGAAAGACGCTGAGAAGTTGAAAATGATGTTGCTAGCATGGAATTACCACAGCCAGGCTCAAGGTAAAACATTTGTTTTGTTTATTTACAGGGGTACCAATTTAAAAAAACAAAGAAACATTCTGATTGACATCAATACATAAATAAATTTTCGTGTTATAACAAATAAAGAAAATGTTGCTTAGATGCATCCGAAGTAAACCATCTCTTTGTAATTAACCGTACACTAAATAACATAGGGATTTTAGCAGTTTTTACGTGTAAAAATTGTATAAGTTCTGAATATACAAGTTTGTGTGGCATCTCCCTCATTGATAACGTAACATAAAATCAAGCCTTTTATCCCCGAAGGGGTAGGCCGAGGTGCATATTACGGCACTTAATACAATACAATGTAATATCGACTTTTCACTATTTACGTCATAAGTTCCGTGTAAAAAAGTGGCGGGGGGGGGGGTTCCATGCTATATAACAGACCGGGCATAATTACAGACTCCATGATAAAACTGTGACTTTTTAAAACCCCCCGGGAATCGACCCCGAGACCCTATGCCTGACAGTCGCAATTGCAACCACCCGGCCAAGTCAGGCACCGAGGCAGTCCCTCATTGATCTATACCACAAACGATAGTAACACGAGCTCATTAAGTTCACATCTTGTAATATCTACATGTAAATTATGTATTTAAATAACATAATGAGCAATCACTGTACCAAGTTCAGCCTACTCGATTCAACCTTTCTTTTATAGTTTTTATTGCAAGATAATTCGATTCATCGATACTTAAGGGAAAAAATTGTGAGGAAACAGTTCATAATCTTAATTTGTCATCAATGGAAAATATCGTGATCAAGATCGTTTAATGATGAAATCTTTTTAGTGGTTGATTCTTTTTCGAATGATAACGTCTTGTTTATGGTTCGTGGTCGTTCACCAATTCACCAATCACCATGGGCCGGCTCCAAAACCTACCATAGGCAAACAACAATGTGACTTTTTCCAAGTTTATACTTTTTTATGGCATAAGCCGGTAAACGAGGATACGGATTACTTGATGGTAAGCAATCGGCGTCTCCCATGGACACTTGAAACACCAGAGGCGTTACAAGTGCGTTATCGGCCTTTTGGGGATAAGAACATTAAGGATTGTTGGGGATTGCGAAGAGATTTTTGTGTATGAATATAGTTAAGAAGCTCGAGAAGTCTTATATTACTTTTTTTACTTCGATTACGCGGCAGAGGCCGCGGGTAATAATTAGTCTAATAATACTTTGCTCAACATGGAAGCGGGAACTGACGATCTTGGCTCGGAATGTCACACATGATTCTGTATCTTATGTAGGTACTTAGGAATACATAGCTACCTTCTTATAGCTTACATATACATAAGTAGGCTCTGATTAATTGTGATGGAAACGTATCCACCGCGTCTGTTATCTGAGTCACTTGTATATATGTACGTATGTAGGTGTGTATGGAGCTCATTTGTGATATAACTTGGGGTTGATTACTGTTATAGGTATATCTTATGTAGGTACATGAGCGTCTTTGCGCTTCTATAACAGTCAAAAATGTATTTACGATTTTGTATTAAAGATACGTTACGTTATCATTATTAGCCCATGTCCGTACACTGCTGAACGTCATCATCAACAGCCTGTAAGTGCCCACTACTGAGCAAAGACCACTTCTGAGTTCTGACACAAAGAACGATTCAGCGTTAATCACCACGCTTGCCCAATGCGGGATGCGGGTTGGCATGCTTGCTTACTGCTGAGTACAAGTTTCCCTAATGGCACGCCAGTGAACAAAGCTTATATGTATAAAATACTGATATTTAGCTGAATCTGGTTTAGACTCATTGGTGACCCTAATCTAGTTGGGATAAGGCCAGGAGAAAGAAATGTAAAACAAGGCCGGTTAAAATATTCCCATTTTCAATTATAAAATTCTTAGTAAAATTGTACAGAGAAATCAGATGGAGTTCTGCTCCATTACGTGATTAATCGGCAGTGATAAATTCAACCTGGATAGTGTGAATATATGTCTATAGGCAATATCACATAGTTTTTGTGGTCATTTTGTTTAAATATTTAACAACACTAACAAGTTCCATTACAGTCACCCTTTAAAACTAATGGACCCACTAAATATATTTTCCAACTCATAAATATTTGACATTAAAACCTTCACCTAGTGCAACTAGTCTTCAAAACCCACTTTTCTTGTCATCCGAATACTTTATGGACTGCATAATTTCCACGTCGACTGGAACGCATCGGCTATTTTTATTACACGAAGCCATATCGAGAGTACCAGGGGCGCAGGCGACGCAGGCACCTTCTCAAATTATTTATAGGCAAGGGGGCTTGTTCGGGTTGACATTTAGACGCAGATGCACCGGTCCCTTGCGTTCTGTAGGCTCTCATTAATTTCTGCCGCCTTGGTAACTAACCCTGCGAATACTAAATAATATATGGGAATTATCGTCCTGTTTACGTCTGTATGCAGCAATTAAATGAGTTGTTAGTTGAAATGGAAATGGAGGGAACCAATAATTAGAAATCAAAAGGGGTGATAAAAGTAAAATGAAGTTACAAACATACTTCAAGTTGATTACGTATGTCTTCAAGTCTTGAGTCGATAAGTTCGAAATTCCAATATTTTTTATTATTCCATTATGATTATTTCCCATGAGAATGACAGGTGCGAGTTGTCAGTTTGTCACATTAGGTGTGACCTGTCGAATGTCAGGCATTCATCATAATGACAGACAATAATTTATCGTGTCTGCATTGGACTAGTGGCTTTTATTCATAATTTATGTCATAAGTGGTCACTGCGAGGCATTGCAAAGATGACAAAAATATTGTTTTGCCTCCAACTTACGGCATGAGCGTAGATTTTTGATTGCATACAGTCTACGCATCAGTTGGACTGGACGACCTGCAGCTTCTGTAAAATATAGCGCGGATTTGACTGACAAACACATGTGCAATTTAATAATTTTATTAACTGGGTAATTTTCGTCTGCTTTGTTGGATTACCTTATTATTTCTACTTAGTGTTCGTAAATAGTACTAGGGTAGTATGAAATTTAGGATCCAAATAAATTTTAAACAGTAATGTGTACTCACATAGTTTTAATGAGCTAGGAAATGAATTGCTAGGGCTTGACAACGGGTAGTTCGTTGAAATAAATAAAAAGTTTTTTTTGTATATATTGGGGACTCGGTAATCGAGCCATGGACGTGATGTACCTTGTTCGTTTGGAGTTCGATTTCCCGATTGGATACAGACACAGTAATAATGTGTGTGTCCAATTTTTAGTGCTGACCCGATTTATAGTATCTATCCTTTAAATGGTCGACGTTTGGCAATAGATTTGATCCGAATAATCATTTTTACAATCTTATACTTACTATTATATAAAGCGGAAGAGTTTGCGTTTTTGTTTGTTTGTTTGAACGCGCTAATCTCCGTAACTACAAGTCTAATTTGAATAATAATTTTTGTGTTGGGTAGCACATTTATCGAGGATGTCTATAGGCTATAAAACATTACGCTACGACCAATAGGAGCTGAATAGAGTGTGTGAAACCGCGCGGAAATAGCTAGTATTAATATAAAAGGCACTATAAATTAAAAATTATTTTTAATATTTTTTTATTTTGCAATAATAGTATCATTGACTATCGTAAAACTAAACTTACAAATGAATTACTGTCACCCCTGGCCAAAGCCATCACTGAAAATGTACATAAAATACAGGTATTACGGGGTGGGGTGGACAGACCTCCCTACACTCTGTACCATATTGAGTTAAATTGTTATCTATAGGTACCTAGGTACTTTTTTACTGGTTCGCTATTATTTAAATAGCTTGCGTTATAGAGGTAGAATCCATTAAAACTAAATCGTCATCAAAAGTCCGAGTAAAAAAAAACATTTCACTGCAGTTCAGCAGTGGATTGTATCAAACTGTTGATACATAACTTTCATCCCCGAAGGGGGTTGGCAGAGGTGCACATTACGGCACTTAATGCCATTGTACAATGTAACACCCACTTGTCACTATTTATGTTGAGTCCCATGTAATAGGGAGTGAGCATAGTCCCATATACCGGGCACATTTCCAGACTCCGTGCTACTACTGAGATTTTTTAAACAAAAACAGTAATGCTTTGCCCGGCCTGGGATTCGAACCCGAGCATTCGTGACCACTTGGTCAATGAGGCACTGTTGATAATTGAAGTTTTTTTTACTAGTATTGACATAAAACTGGGGCTTGCTCTTTTTATATGATTACCAAGGCAATTAAAAAAGGGAGAGGTGCAAAAATTGCCCTGCTCCTCTAGTGATTTCCAAAATGTTAGTTCATATTCATTGGGTTTTATTGTTTCGGATATTTTTAGTCGATCTGTATTAGATGTAAAAAAAAATTATGTTTACTGATACTTCGGAGGAAAGATAGAAAAATTTTTTTATAAAAAATATTACGTTTTTAAGTGAATTGATTTGATAAATAGCGATGAGTTCATCGGGGCAGAATCTATCTATATATATAAAAGAAAGTCGTGTTAGTTACACTATTTATAACTCAAGAACGCCACAATCGATTTAGATGAAAGTTGGCAGGGAGGTACCTTAGAACAAGGAGACGGACATAGGATACTTTTTAAACAATACTTTTTTTAATTTTTACCGAAAATCACGAACGGGAACGGGGGAAAATGGGATTGCGCGTACGAAGTCGCGGGCAGAAGCTAGTATATATATAAAAATAAGTCGTGTTAGTTACACCACTTATAACTCAAGAACGGCAGAATAGATTTGGCTGAAAATTGGTAGGGAGGTAGCTAAGAGCCAGGAGACCGACATAGGATACTTTTTAACCAATACTTTTTTTTTACTTATTACCGAAAATCACGAACGGGGACGGGAAAAAATGGGATTACGCGTACGAAGTCGCGGGCAGAAGCTAGTAAGGTATAATTTTGAACACTGTGAGTAACAAACGGATGAAGATTGCATAGGTACTATAGTATAAAATACCTACAGATGTTTTGTTGGGATGTAAAAAAATACTTGTACGGAATATAAATTGCTTGTTCTCTGTTCTGAATGCCTGGTAGCCGCTGTTCTCGTGTCGGACATGATAACGGGATTTTATCATGTTTTTATTATCCGTATAGTTTAATAGAGGCAGTTTTAAATTAAGGAAAAATAAATAAAATAAGTTAATTTATTTTATAGCATGGATTTTTATGTTTTTTAAATGAAGGTGCCATGCGTAAAGTGATAAGAAGATTGTTTTATGCAGTAGCGACATCTAGGATGAACAAAATTAAGAACTTTTTGTTAATCGGACCTATAATTTTTTAATTTTTTTAATTTAAGTACCCCTTGAGTAATAATTATCGATGGAAAGTAACACCCCTGCTCTTTAATCTACTAGTATGGTACGGTACTAAAATAGTACTACAAAATGTGCAGAGAAAATGTTTACAATCTTCAAATTACATGCTCTAGGCTTCATTGTTGATACTTACCCTAGGTCTTAACTAAAGTAGTGAGAAAAAGTATTTTAAAAACTTACCTTTACTATAATATTAGGAACATTGTTCATTTAAATTATTGGAAATGCAAGTCGACTTCAAAAAACTACAACTTTTAAGACATCCCATCATTCGCGATCAATTCGCAATCTAAAGAAAACTTCATACATGGTTATCATGTTTCCCTGATCTCTTATTGCATTCTAATCTCCTGGTACTTTCAGGCCGCAACGGTGACATTACGGAGACTGGTGGCGACAGCATGGCGGATTTATGGGCTTCATACCATAGCGCTTTGGGTCTCGGCAGCAAGCCGCCAAAACCTCCTACTCCATTGGCCGCTGGCCACTCGGTGAGTTTTAAGGTTGAGCAGCGTTTCATCTATTTACTAAAAAAATAAGAACAGAAGTATCAACACTTCAAAATCCAACCTAGATAGTAAAGTTGTTATTAGATAAATACCTAAATAAGCCAAGAAAAGTAAAAAAAAACACCATAAATCAAAATATTTCTTTACGTAATTTAAAAAATATGAAGTAGGTACATAGTTATTGAATACACAATGTGTGAACAAACACTAATCTTATTTGTACCTAACAGAGTCCAATTCACGTTGGCTCGGTGACACCGGGAGTGGAGCCTGCTTCTACACATGATGAGACTTCATCATCAGATCGGACAAAGGATGACGATGACGGCGGAGCCTCGGATGATGACTCTGATGACAGGGTTGATCCACAACATCATGATCCGGAGCGACTGAAGGCTTTTAACGTAAGTTATGATACTAAGATAATTATTATTAGACATCTTTCTTTCTTAAGCCTAAGAAATGGGATTCAAAGAAACTTGAAGAAAACTTTAGGTTTTTTTACACAATAAACTTCATTAAGAATCTGAATAATCTTTTTGTCAAATTCCATCTATATTGCTTCAGCAGTTTTACGTCCAACGTACAAACACGAACATAACTTCTTCATTCACTTATCGATTGTAATGTAACTGTTGGATCATTTTCTTTCACCTTCTCTTTATTTAAAACCTGTAGAAGTGCCAGTTAGTGATAAACCAAACTGAATTAGTAACGGACTAACATCGGGTATCGGATTCGAGTCGTAATTGGATTATGACGGTCGACTCTCTGCAAAACACGTAGTTTCCAGTTAAAATGGAAACTAAGCCAAAAATATCATACATACACCTATCTAGATACGAGGAAGTTACATTAAAATCTGTCTTTTCGCCTTGCAATAAAGACTATTTTGGTTTCACAGATGTTCGTCCGCCTCTTCGTAGACGAAAACTTGGACAGGATAGTTCCGATCTCCAAGCAGCCTAAAGAAAAAATTCAGGCTATCATCGATTCCTGCACACGACAGTTTCCGGAGTTTGCCGAACGCGCTCGAAAGAGGATCAGAACTTATCTGAAGAGCTGCAGACGGAACAAGAAAGTACGAGGAGAGATGCCCTCGTCAGGCAATGGAGGAAGTACACCGGGGTCTGGCAACGCCTGGGACACTGCGGTGAGGGTCCGATCTCCATTTTATTTATGTTATCCTGGTATTGTTACTGTAAGTTATGGTAACATCTGACTAATACCATATGAACTTTATACAAAGATTAATTTCAACAGAGTAAATTACCTCTTTTTGATTTCGTGTTAGAATCATCGTTGCTGGGTTTAGGCCACCCTTTTATCTGCCGTAGGGTGCTTCTTTTTCTCAGCCTTCGTTTTCGGTCATTCACCGTAGGATTATTACTCATGGTACCTATATTCCTAATCTTTTACCAGTAACCTCTTGACTTATGATGACTGAACCTTTTTGTACAGGTGCGACCAACTCCAGCGCATCTGACATCAGTGCAAGCTGAGCACATCCTTGCACAGGCGTGTGAGAATGAGAGCCTCAACGCTAAACGCATGCGTCTTGGTCTCGACCCTGTCAGCCAGCCGATGCCGACTGTACCTACTCCAATGGTAAGTTAAAATTATGTGCAATTCTATTCCGAATTACTTCTGCAACATATATTGAATTCTCCATAAAATAAAACACATTAGGAGATGCTCATGAAAAAAATTCACGTACTGACTATAATATCTGAAAATTTATATTGCAATCGTTTAAAATTACTCACAAAAGAAATATCAAATGTCTGTAAACTTTCCTTTTCACTATTGTCTGAATTTAAAACTTTTTGAACTTTCGTAACTTACTATAAAATATATGGGTTCTTCTCAACGAGTGCGAAGTTCAATATTGTTTGAGCTTTTCATGGCTTGTTTTTTAATTTCTTTATGTAACATTCTACAGGCCATTGACACTACGGCGACTTCAGCAGTGGCTTCGTCATTCCTAAGCCTGTACAGTGGTGCTATTAGCAGCCCAGCTTCCACTCCAGCTACAACCACGTCCACTACTTCATTGGCCACAGCTGGACATAGCAAGGCAGCTGCAGACACTACCAGGCCATCAGCAAGCCCAACTATGGATACCTCGCTGCTGAACAACAACAACTTGAAACTGGATAACGCTAATGGAAACGCTGGCAGTAAGACTGCTAGGTGAGTTATGATGCCCTGGTACTTCGCAGATTGCTTACAAGGATTGTATTATTGATAGTCATTTTTATTTAAGTGTTTATTTTTTACTCGACTGACCCTAGAAGGAGAGTAATGTTATTCTAATTCATTTACAGCCCAGCGTCATCGCCGGCGCCTCTATTCAGACCATCATTCCCAAATACTTTTGGAACGCCACAAACTTTTGGACGACAGAAGTAAGTGATTCACAAACTTAATTATGTACGTGTTTTGAATAATCCTTCTAGGACAGCCGAGTAAAAATTAATGCTAGCTATAGGATAATTTTTGTACCTGTACATTATAATATTAGACAGTATAAATTGGCTAGATAAAACAAAAATTATAATTGGATTGCTAAAAAAGTTGTAGTAGTATTTTTTATTTTTACGATGTGTAGTGCTCACGTACCAGGCAAGTATGACTAACTTAGAGCTTTGTTATTCCAGCTCCAACCCGAACCCTGCATCATCAGCGCTGACCAGTAGCGCCCTACTCTCAACTTTGACTGCGCTGCCACCTACCGGTGAGTGACAAAACCTTTTAGAGGACTTTGATGAATATTGTCTGAATTAATATTGGAATCTATATGAAAACAATGCTTTCTAGGAGCAGGTGTGAATGCAGCTATGGCGGCGTACCAGAGCGCTTTGCTTTCGGCTATGGCTGCGCACACACATACTTTCCCCACCAGCCTGTCCGGTAAGCATGTACAACTCATCTACTTACATATATGATCGTCAACCTATTAACGTTCATTGCCGAGCTCCACCTTTAGCTCTTCGCCACCACCCAGTTTGGTAACCAATTTACTAACGAAGATAAATCTATATTTCAGCTCCAACAGATCTCTCATTAAAGAGTACAGCGCCGACCCCTCTGCATGGGACTTCGAACGCATCATCGCTTGCTCCCACGGCGTCCAGCCAGAGCAAGCCACAGCTTCTGTCCCACAAGCTGTCAGGAGCTGAAGTGGGTGCAGTACGACAGCTCATTACTGGCTACCGTGAGTCCGCAGCCTTCCTGCTCCGCTCCGCAGACGAGCTCGAAGCTCTTCTGCTTAACCAACCCTAGGATACGATTAAACCCTTATCTGACGTATATGGGTTCAAATTTGGATACTTTTAAAATAAACTGTGCTGGTGAACAGTGATTTGGATTCAAAATAAAATTCGAGTGGTTTGTGACTTTCGGGAATAAATTCGATGTCAAATTAAGTATACCTATATTACAAATTAAATTAATAATGCACAGATACTGTAAATTCGGAATTCTTAGAATGGACCTGCTGATTGTGATTTGCGAATTGCAAATCTTACAAAATTTACAAATTTTGTGACTGATTCATGCCAATTTTACTAATGACGTTTTTAATTGTTTCTACATGTTACATTTTAATATTTAACCGAAATACTTGTCAATAGTTACAGTTACTGCGTTAAGGTGGTCAGTTACAGGTAAAATTGATAATGAATAATTATCTCTGCCAGTAACTGACCATTTTAGCTCACCATAGACTAATTCAATTCTTTCAATAGACGTTTCACACATCGCTTACATATACCCGAAATAAGTAGAACACTAGTTTATGTTACAAAATATTTGCGTTGGCAACATTATTGATCGCATAATACGGTGCTTGTTATACTCATTTTTGGTGTTGCCAACACACTACGTTTGTCAAAATTATTAAGTAGAAACTTTGAGTCTATCCACTGATAATACCTTTTCTAAGAATGTGTACACACTTACCGAGGGCTGTGGACGTTATCCTAGTTGTTTACATATTTATTTGTTTCACGGAGCGTTCACAAAGAGCTATACAAATCCGCAACTGTGTGCGCATTCTTAGAGATCTTCATCAACGTCCACAAAATAAAATGAATAATTAAAAATTGAAAAATATTTTGTAAACGTTGACGAAGTTGCAAACTTAGAAATCTATTTCAGCGATCGTACAAAGCTGCCATAATTATTGTAAAAAAATCTAAATGTTGCCATTTGAAACTCGTTGGGAGAGTACAAAATTATTTTTGTGTATATTTAGATTATAAGAGAAAAAAATCAGGGAGTCTCTAGCGTTAGGTTAATTAAAAAAAAAAACGATTTCTTGCCTGGTGCGATTTATAGATTAGTATATTGATTATCTCATCGAAAATTGCTTGAAAGAGGCGGCTATTAAAATATTTGGAGAATGAAATACATCTTTTCTTGATTTGGTTGACTTCGAATTTTCGAAATGTCAATGTTGCTATTAAAACTTAATTTCGATAGATCGATATCATCGAAATAAAAAATTTTTCGTCAATTCGAAGTCAATCAAAAACTTAACATTTAAGTTGAAGTGGCATTTTAGTAATAAGAGCACGAATTTATTTGTTGTTTTGTATAATAGCGCTCTAGCTTTACAATGATTAATTAATATATTTAAACTTTTCATTACTTAAAAAAGATATTCTATAGCTCTTTTATGACGTGATCGGCTCCATCCAAAATCGTTTGCTAAGTTTTTCTTAATAGTTTAGTTTATTCCTAATTCGCTTTGCTCAGTACAATGGAAATATTTTGACTGTATCTGTTTGTTACCATAGGTGTACGGCCAAGTACTGTAGGTAAGGTGTAAAATAAGTTACTTGCTTACGGTGTACAAAATATTCCACTTCTATAAGAAATCAAAACCTCCTCAAATTGTCTGTTTTCCAATTAAAGTTTCTATTTTGGCCTAAATCATTTCGTTGAGCAAAATGTGGATCTGGGTAATACCTCGTAATGTTATGTACTTCTGTTGTTAACTATACCTAGTTTAGTTCATCATTCTGGCCAGTTTTATTCGATTTTTGTAATCTATCATAATGTAATTTCGTTTATAAGGTTAAACAAAATAATTACAATAGAATAATTAAAGTCACATAAACGCTTATTATGTTGCTACTGATTTCATACTTTCAAATGTTGCGACCATTGTAGAACACACTTTTGTGGTCATTTCGACCAATAGCAAACAAGTGATGTTGTTCGTTGTCCAATGATTAAACTGTGTCTCCTCTACAATGGTGGCAACAGTTCGAAACCTGCAAATAATGTATAATATTTTCTCAATTTTGCCAGTTTTTCTCAATAGTGTTAAAAGCTTGACGACAGTTTTTAAATAAAATTGTAAATTCACTTTTGAATACAAAAATTGCCAAAGAAACGAATTGATTTTTCGTAATTGATTGTGTGGTATGTGGAATTGCAGTTTAATTTTACTTATTACTATGATTACGATAATTTGACGTTAAGATTAATTTAAGGGTTAGTTTTTAGTTTTGTTTTATGGATAAAGTCATTCCAATATTTTTCTAAAATGGACACTCGGTGCGACGAAAGAATGCTGTAGTCATTGTATATGGGAGAAATGTAAAAAGTATGTTTAGAAGTATAAAAAAGTTGATTAGAAATACGTGAAAGTTGATGTTGGGATAACGATAAAAAAACGAAAATGGTGGTAAATACGTTGAGAAAATGAATTTGTTAGACATTAAAATATATTATTATTAGAGATGTATAAATGGTTTACAATTATTATTATCTATTAGTTTGAGAGAAATACAAAATGGTGAAAAAAAAATAATACAAAATGGCGATTGTTACTATTAACGATATGAGAATTTAGTTATAATTTTGCAATTTCAAAATGTGAGTTTTACAATTTTGAAAAAGAAAATATTAAATATGCTCATATACTGAAACTATTTGTTTTATTTCTTCCAGTAGTTTATCAATTTTTATTTCTCAAATTTAATTTAACACCAAACAGCTACATTGCAATTGTATTTCAAGTACCAGGACCGTATAGAAGTCAAAGAGCCCTTAAAATAAAATTCATAATGTACTTTGTAAATAAGTGTATTCAGTTTAGATTCGGGAACCTGTCGACGAATGGATAGTATCGTTTGTCCGCCATCAGGAATCGTGTCGCATTTGCAATGAAGTCTAGGTTCGAATGTGATGCGAGGTATGAGAACATCGATGGGAATCGCTCTGTTCCGCACCTAAAAAATAACAAAATTAAATAACAACGATAAAGAATTTAAGGATTTTGAAGAAGCTATTCTCCATTTTTTACTTACAATTTCCTAATACCCCAAGATGCAAGGCCCCACAGAATACCATCACTTACTGCTGGCGCCCCGGTGTCTCTCTGGAATAAAACGTTTAACATAATGGAATACACATGAAATACATATTGGGAACAATAAATAATGAAAGCAAATTAATTTTAACAGATTTCTTTTCAGACTTTAACATAATTATTTGAATTAATATTTTTCCAACTGTACTCATAAATTTACTTGCAACTACTTAGTGACAGCTACAACAGTTTTTTGCGAAGACACTGGCATAATAAAATAAATCAATGGATGGACGTCACACGACGTCACGACGTGGATAACATCTATTTAGCATCAACTACCGGTTATGGCTTGGAAGTAGTCGAGAGTCTTCATTAAACAGTTTACACAAATACTAAGCCACATCTTTTAATATACTCTGTCACGATATATACCTCTATATATTATAAACCAATCGAAGAAAAGTCCTTATATTTGTCGACTTGATCTAAATAACTGCCTCGTTCGTTGACCGAGTGGTCGCAAGTGCGACTGCCGGGCCACAGGACATATAACTTTGTATGTTCTGTGTGCCGGGCAATGGGTTTCGGGTTCGATTCCCGGGTCGGGCAAAGTATTACTGGGTTTTAAAAATTCTCAGTAATAGTACAGTGTATGGAATTGGGCCCGGTGTCAATAGACTCACCCCCTATTATATGGGACTCATAACATAAATAGTGAAAAGTGGATGTTACATACCACTGTACAGTGGCATTAAGTACCGTAATGTGCGCCTCAGCCTACCCCTTCGGGGATAAAAGGCGCGATGTTATGATATTATGTTGAACTAAAATGGAAACATGGGTAGATATTAAAAAGTACTAGGATACCAACAGTGCAAGGACCTGACCGGCCGCTTTGCGCCAGACAGATGAAGTTCTCGGATACGATGACGCTGAACCTCATGGTGACGTTGTTACATTTGTCGTGGTTCATCAGCCTCGTGTGGTAGACTTGTAACGTTGAAGATTCAGAGTCGTAGATACCGTCACGCTAAAGGAAAACATTTAATTTAAACAAAGAAGTGATGATTTAACTTGCCTGCCTCCTTTTTTTTTATTTATACCACGACCGTGGTAAAAAAGCACACGGCCCACCTGATGGTAAGCGGTTACCGTGGCCTGTGTACGCCTGCAACACTTGGGGCATTACATACGTCATGCCGACCCTTAAAAAACCTATTCACTGCCCTCTTGAAGAATCTCATGTTGTAGCCCACTGGGAAAACCACGGCAGGGAGCTCATTCCACAATCGGAGGGTCCGTGGGATGTGGATCCTTAATATCCGGTTGGATTCCCGGGTCGGGCAAAGTATTACTGGGTTTTTTAAAACATTTTTCAGTAGTAGCACGGAGTCTGAAATTGTGCCTGATATCTGGCAATAGGCTCACCCCCTAATTACATGAGACTCATAACATAAACAGTGAAAAGTGGGGGTTACATTGTACAATGGCATTAAGTGCTGTAATGTGCACCTTTGCCCCTTCGGGAATAGAAAGTGATGTTATGTAATGTAATGTAATGACTTATAAACTGCTGAACATTAAATAGTCCTATGTTTTAGTCTAGCGTTTCGAAGGTGTCTGCTTAAAATATGCCTTTGCTATTCTGCTAGACTTGAATCCATAGATTCCACAGTAAATGACCCAACTATTTTAAGTTAATGTAGGCTGAAAGTGAAGCTTTTTTGTTAATATAAATACAAAAAGAAGTAGACTGTGAAGGACCTACCCGCTCCGAACCCCAACTGGTCACCCAGGCATCATCAAACGGTGGTAACATCACCCTGTTCGGCAGATCTATGCCGTGCACTGAATCTGAAAACCTGGAACATTTTCACTTATTTAATTACATCAACATCAACAGCAGGTTCCAGACCTCTGCTGATCTAAGTATGGCTAAGGATTAAAGCGCGATTTTCTCCCGCGACCTCCGAGGTTCCGGGTCTGCAGCTTTTTATAGAATATGGATATGTATGTAAAATATCAAAGCACAATTCACGGCGCGTTTTACGCCCGCACCGATTGCTATAGTTTGATTGCCCGCTGCATTGCCGCGGCCCGCAACCGCCACGGTCAATCGCTAAGTTTGAGAGGGCGATAATCGCAACTGCGGCGGCTATGGGATCGCTAAATACTGCAGTCTTGAGTTTTGAAAATTCCGCCTCCATTTCGCCACCACGACTGGCGCGGGAGAAGATCTCACCGTGAGTCTTTAGCCTCTCTCCTCTCCTAGGTTTGCCATAAACTCCACTCGTTGTCGACGGTTTGGAGATAGCAGATCAGGCTTATCAGAGTGGTTTTGCCCAATCTCTGTTAAATACTTATGCAGTCATCAGTCAGCCGGCTTTTACCATACCCATTGGAAAAGTAGAGCTGGTAATAAATGTAATCAAATCTTCTATCACCACACCCAAGCCCAAAGGATTGCCCTTTAAGCTTGAGTTATAAGTTTTTATTTCCTTGCTAACTTACAATTGACGTCATCAAATTCATCTGATACCAGCTCAAATACTTAGGTACAATTAATTATTATGATTTGCGGCTTACACACATAATTATTTGACTAGGAACTCGACTGGTTTGAAGCCAATGCTACTGTAGTAGCAGTGCGAAAGCCGCGTCACGGGTCGCGGAATGCTGCTCATGAATATGAGCCCCAAGCATGGCTTGAAACTAGTCGAGTTCCTTGTCAAACAGTTACGAGAGTAAGCCATAAAACATAGTATTTAATTTTGTATGTCTCACGAAAGTTATAACATATATTTAGGTACAAACTTTATATTCCTATCCAACAGTAGAAGTGCGACGTCGTTATCCGGACTCTTTCGCAGTCCCCAGCCCGGGTGTTTCATCACCTCTTGAATGGCTGCCATCTGACCACCTCGGTCGATGTAGCGGGAACCAGCTCTCACTTCCATGCGAGACACGCGGGTGGCTCTGCAAAATTATCGTCGTCTTTGGCTAAGTCGATATGGTCTGATTTGTCGGTCTAGTTTTCGTAAGTTTGATAACGGATAGAATATTAGCTTCTATTCTGTAATATCTAGTTATTAATTTTTAACCGTCTTCAAAAAGAATGAAATGAGATTTTCAGTTTTATCTGTGTTTGTGTGCGATTATTTCACGATTGGCTGAACCGATTTAGATGCGACTTTCAGAAAAGTGTTTTTCAGTGTTTGTGTCTCTTAAGAGGAGATCTCTTTATGTATTTTTTTTTTTTTTTTTTTTTTTTTAAGGGGGGAAAATCATCGAATGACTGCTCCCGCCTGGGTGAGGCGGAAGGGAGTGTCAGACTCTTACTGACTAAAAACCACCCCGTTCCTTCTCCTGCACGTCGAGCCGGAGCCCCGGTTACCCGTTAGGTTCTCCGCGACTCCGAATCGGCATCGGCCCTATTGGGCCCCATCTGTGGTGGTCTGATGGCTCTTTGAGGCGCGCGCGGAACGCGACGCGCCGTACGCTCGGGTCTGTTTCTGGTCGGACGGGGAGCCACCCATGCTCGCCGTCCGCAGGCCCGCGCTTACGGTGGCCGGAGATCGTCCCGCGATCCCCGACGCCCGGTGTGTCCTTCGCGATGGCTGGGTCGCGAGGAGGCAGCGCTTCGCTGCCTCACGCGTCCCGCCTCCTCCTTAGCTAGCATGACTGCTTCGCAAAAGGAGGAGACGGCATCCCAGTCCCCCTCGCTCCGCATCATGGCCTGCACTAGGCCCGGACGCGAGAGGTCGCCATCGCCGATCACTTCCCTGAGGGCACGGCGGTGCTCAGCCCACGCAGGGCATTCCGCTACGGTGTGTTCCACCGTGTCCTCAGGGCGGTCCTCGCAGTGATGACACCCGGGCGTTTCCTCCCGCCCCATCAGACACAGGTACCTCCCGAAACTTCCATGTCCGGTGAGGACCTGCGTCAGGCGGTAGGTGAGGACGCCGTAGCGTCTCTCAAGCCACTCCTCAAAGAGGGGACTTACCGCTGCAATGGCAGCGAGCCCAGCCCTCGGTTGCGACAGTCGTTGCTGCCATTCCGCCATGAGATCGCGCCGGAGCTCATCCCGCCACGCACTTATCTGGCGCGGCAGCGGAGTTTCGCCCCGGCGACGTGCCTCCGCGCGCATGTTATACACGCGCGCGAGCACCTTCGCCTCCAGATCCCACGGCGGTAATCCGGCAAGGAGGTTCGCCGACTCCCCAGCGATCGTGCGGTATCCGCGGATCATTCGGATCGCCATGACCCTCTGTGACTTGAGCAGCGTCCGAGCAGGACGCCGCAACAAGTTCGGCGCCCAAACAGGGGCGCCGTAGAGGGCCATGGACCGCACGACCCCGGCGTATAACCTCCGGCAGGAGGCGTTTGGCCCCCCGAGGTTGGGGAGGATGCGTTTGAACGCAGCCCCCGTCCTCTCCAACTTTGGAGCCAAACGTCGGAAATGCTCTATGAAGTTCCACCGACTGTCGAGGACGAGTCCTAGGTACTTCATCGCCATCTCGACTCCGATGGTAACCCCTCCCGCCGTTATTTGGGACCCACCCGGAGGTGGCGCGTTCCCGCGGCCATGAAAACACATGGCCTCGGACTTGTGGAGCGCCACCTCGAGTCCCAACTGCCGGATTCTTTCAACGACTGTCGCAACCGCTGTCGCCATTAAGTCGGCCGCCGCCTGGTGCGACCTCCCGTGCGCTAGCACCAGCGTGTCGTCGGCGTAGCATATTGTGCTAACGCCGTTCGGGAGGTCGGTGCGCAGCACCCAGTCAAAGCCGATGTTCCACAGGAGCGGCCCCAGAACCGAACCCTGTGGAACACCGCGTGACATCTCTCGCCGGTTCCACTCGCCCCGGTGACCGGGGTAGCTGACGGACCTGTCCGTCAGGTAAGCCTCGATTACACGACGGAGGTAGGTAGGCACCCGATGATATCGGAGTGCCTCCAAGATGCAGCTCCAGGGCAGGGAGTTGAAGGCGTTGGCGATGTCCAGAGACACCGCCACTACGACCTTACCCCTGGACACTGCAGTCCCCGCCGTGAGGTCTCTAACGCGCATGATGGCGTCCACCGTGGAGCGCCCTCTGCGGAAGCCGAACTGGCCGTCCGACAAGTCCGGCCCAATGTCCGTCAGGTGCGCGACGAGGCGGTTCGAAATGATTCTTTCGAAGACTTTCCCCACCTCGTCGAGCAGCACTATGGGCCGGTACGCGGACGGAGAGTCCGCAGGGCGCCCCGTCTTCCGCACGAGGACCAGTTTGCCCGCTTTCCAGAGAAGCGGGAACTGGCCTCTCTCCAGACATGCGCTGTAGAGACCAATCAATCGAGGCCCGAGAGCCTCTGAGGCCAGGACCCATGCCTTGCCATGCAGGCCGTCGGGTCCTGGGGCGGTGTTCTTGGCGCCCATCCGGCGCACCGCCGCTCTCAATTCTGCCTCGGTCACCTCTGGGACGATGTCATCGTCGTCGTCGCTGTAGCCCGCGTCGGGCACCGCAGGGGGCGGAGTCATATACGGAGGGGTGAAGCCCCTCCACAGTCGGGGGAACAGGGCGCCAATCACCTCCTCCAAGACTTCTGGCCGGAGACTCTGAGTGAGCGGGGGAGCCCAAGCACGGAGCTTGTCGCGTACCATCAGGTACGGGCGTCCCCACGGGTCTCTATTCAGAGTCCCCAGCATCTCTCGGCGGGCCTCCTCCTTGGCCCGCAATATCTCCGCCTTGAGGAGGGCCTTCGCCGCCCTGTATCCCTCGTATAACTCCGCCTCTCTCGCCTCCGCATTAGGAGGACGGATACGGCGCCTGCGGTGCCTAGTGTACTGGCGTCGCGCAGTAGTGCACGCCTTGCGCAGAGCCGCCAGCTCTTGCGACCACCAGTACACCTGGCGCTTCTGTTGCCGCGACCGGATCCGGGGCATCGCCACGTCACAGATCCTGGACATGGCGTCCTGGAGCCACTTGGCCTCATCGTCAACGTCGGCAGGCCTGACCGGTGGTATCACCCAGGCCTGCACGATGGCGGCTTCCAGGAGCAGCTCCCGGTCCAGCTGTTTCAGCGCCCAACGCGGGCCACATGGGGCCTGTCTGACCGGCGGGTCTGCGGACTCGGCGGAGACGTCGAACCGGATATACCGGTGGTCGGAGTACGTCTCCACCTCCTCCATGACGCGCCAGCCAACAATACGCGGTGACAGAGCAGGGCTGGCGAACGAAATGTCCACCACCGACTCGCCCTGCATCCGCACACACGTGGGGACAGAACCCCGGTTCAGGACGACTAGGCCTGTCTCAAGGGCCCAGTCTTCCACCATCCTACCCCGGACGTCGGTGAACCGGGAACCCCAAGCCAAGTTTTTGGCGTTGAAGTCCCCGAGGACGAGCACGGGGAGGGAACGGAACCCGACGACGACAGTGACCAACTCCCTCAAGGAGTTGTGGAACTCGGCGAGAGTTCGGTTCGGAGAGAAGTACACGCCCACCACAGCGAGCTCTCCGAACCGTGCTGCGACACAACCCCGGCCTCTTTGAGCAGCCTCAAGAGTCAGGTGGGGTACCGGCGGCGGCCGACGAGATGATGGTCACCGAGCCGTCCAGGTCCGCCACCCAGTGATCCCTGGGCAGGACAAAGTACGGCTCGGAGACCACGGCGACATTGATCGACCACTGCGCCATGCTCTGGAGCAGGAGATCCTGAGCAGCGGCGCAGCGGTTGATGTTCGCCTGGAGGAGGCGGAATGGGGCCATTTTGGCAGTCCATTCCGATCTCCTCAGTGGCGGCAGCGGCGACTGCGGTGCAGTGGCGGCGGCGGCGGCGGAAACGGCAGGGGCGGCGGAGGGCCTGCCTTTGCCCTTGGGTTTGGCGGGAGGGGAGCAGCCTTTGCTCCCGACCCGGCGATTGGCCGGCTTGCCAGCCGCCGCACATGCATTGCAGTGCAGCGGGGCGGAGCACGAGCCGGCCTTGTGACCGGGCCGACCGCAGCGGAAGCAACAGTCGCTGCGGTCCACCTCCGAGGTGCATTTGACACTCACGTGCTCCCCCACGTGACAGCGGTAGCACCTCAGAGGCCGGGTCTCGAGCAGCTTGACCTGCGCCGAGACCCATCCCACCAAGAGCCTTTTGGCCTCCTTCAGCTTCTTGGCCGCTGTGACGGGGCAGCTGACCACAACAGTGCGCAGCCCCGAGTTGTCCGGGCGGATGGCGCCTGCCTTAACTTGGTCAGCAGGGCACCCTCCCGTCCTGGCCACAGCGGCCACCACCTCACTCTCCGTTACGGAGTCGTCCAGGCCCAAGATCCTGACATCCAGGCATTTGGTTGGCCTGGACACGCGGGCCTCGTCCGCACCGAGGCACGCCCTAAGCCTCTCGGCCAGGGCGTCGGCCGATGGGCCGCTGGTCGCGCCGGGGACCTCCAAAAGACGGGCTCCGGTAGCGGTCACCTTGACCGCGAACCCGTCTGGCGCCCCGAACTCCGCAGGAGATACCGCCCCCTTCAATTTGGCGAGGACGTCGCCGTAAGTGACGCCCCTATTGACCGCCTCGGGCTGCAGCGTAATCACTACAGCCGCGGTCTTAGGGGCGAGGAGCAAGGCAGCAGCGCGTTTCTCCCTGCGCTGCTGCTGCCGTCGCTGCCGCTGCGCCTTCTTGCGGCGCTTCCGGCCCTCCCTGGCGACTCTCCTCGCCTCGCCGGCGATTTGCCACCCGCCGCCGTCCTCCGCTCGCGGGGCGGGTTCCACCACCGCTGCCGCAACTCCAGCCTGCCGGGCTGGAGCGCCTCTCCTCTCCTTGCGCCCTGCGGGCGCTGGCGCCGCCGGCGCAGCTGGGGTCTGCGCCGGCGGGGGCGCCGAGGCCCTCGCTGGGGCAGCCGGTCGCGCCCTTGCCGGCGGTTGGGAGCTGCGGCTAGCCTGACCCGAGGTCGAAGGCTTGGCCGCAGCGGCCGCGTACGACCGGGGACCGCGGGGGCGACCTGACTCGCCGCGAGTGGGGGGCGCAAGAGCCTGCCCTCCAGCACGTCGAAACGTCGCTGGAAGGCAGCCAACTCCGCCCGCAGCAGTCCGACTACGTCGGCCTCCGCCGGGGGCTGGGGGCGACTGCCGCGAGCAGCGGCGAGCTCGGCCCTGGCCGTCCGCAACTCGGCCTCCAGAGCCGCATTGGAGGCCGCCAAGCGCGCCAGCTCTCGCCGCATCTCGGCCAGCTCGGAGCGCACCTTTCCCGCAGTGGGCACCGCACACTGCTCCAAGGCCGCCTCCGTTATTGTGGCCGCCGCCGCCCTGAGGAGGCGGAGCCTAACCGGCTGGGATTTCCCCATCGCCAGCTTGTAGCTCCGCCGTAATGGCCTGTTGGAGGCCCCCGGAGCAGCTCTCGCTCTCAGAGCCGCGCTCGCCCTCCGACATCTCCACGCCGGACATCTCGGCCGCAGAGGACTCCGAACGGGCAGTGCTCGAAAGAGCCCTGCCCTCCGCAGCCAGTTGCTCGGCTGACTCCGCGCAGGCAGCTGGTGCCGGTTTCCGGCGACCGCTGCCCTTGCCGCCCCTACCCCGCGCTGCCGTGGGGACCTTGGGGGGAGGCGCCTCCCGAGCGCCGGAGGACGGGGACAAACTGTCCTCCTCCAGCCGGGGCGTTTGAACGTCCCCGTCGCGCGGCGGCGTGAGCCTTTCGAGCTCACGCTCAGCCGCTCCGCCAATGTTGTGTCGGACTCTGAGTCCGACCCCCTTCGACTAGACTCCCGTGTGTGGGGCCTGCTGGACGAGTCCAGCGCCTCACCACGAGTCCCGGAGCCACTTGGGCTCCCTTCTCCGCTACGCAGGCGAGCCAAGCTCACCCGCACTCTCCTCCTCCGGTTGTGGTTTTGATTTTGATTTATTCTCCATACATTCCCACGAGTATGGGGGAAATATTCGGTCCACCCAGGCAGTGCCCCCTGTACCTGGGTAAGTGTTCATTTGTTTCCCAACTAGAGGTTCCACTGGTCCCCTAGCTGGGGGTGCGCTCGCGACTGACACTACTCCTCAGCCATGCATACTCTCGCCGCGCACCAGAACTTAGTATTAGAGGAATTTTTTATAGAGGTTATCTTCCTCGCGGTCCGGGCGACCAAGCCAAGACCCTCGTCCCGTTCAGAGTCACAAAACATGACCGTGATCTCCTTACGGATTACGATATCGACGGCTGCAATCGGGGACAGCTTGTGTCCCGATGCTGCTCGCTGGCAGGGTGAGTGCACAACGAGCACCGCCTTTGCCTCTCCGCCACGCTCTCTGCTATGTCCAGAGAGACGGGCGGAGAAACGCCCCTCGGAAGCGCGGGCTATGAGCCTCCGCACACAGCCCGCCGCCTCCAGAACCCTATCGGGTTCGCCCGCCCAGTCCAGAAGTCTGCTGCGGGCGACAGTCACTCCAACCCTATCACCCCCGCTAGGGAGACTGTCGCCCGCACCCAGGGTGCACCACGGGGAGGTCTTCTGGCACCGCACCCCATCTCTTTATGTATATTGGTATATTAATTAACCGACTCAAAAAAAGAGGGGAGACAGAAATTGGTTGTTCTAAACCTAGTTGAAGGTGGTTGTTTTAATCACAGGATATTAAAACTGAACTCAATTAGTGAACTTAAGGGCTATCTATACTTTACGTCTTAAAGAGCCATCAGATCACTACAGATGGGGCCCAGTAGAGTTAAAGGAGCCGCTGAAGACTTACTGGTGGCCGGGGCAGGAGTAGGAACGAGGTGGTTTTTAGTCAGTAAGAGTATGAGGTTCCGTCTCGCCTCACCCAGGGAGAAGTCATTGGTTGATTTTCTCCCTCATAAAACGAGCTATACTTACTTTATCGGCCTTTTCAAAATGTAACTTAGTATTTAGTATTATTTGGTAAAATACCTTTTACATCCATTATTTAGGTTCTATCTAACCATTCTTTAGGTTTCAGATATATGTTTCTATGAGAGCAGTAAGTACCTAAGTTGCGTAACTACGACCAAAGAGTATTTACATAACATAACATCACGCCTTTTATCCCCGAAGGGGTACGCAAAGGTGCACATTAAGGCACTTAGGTAATGCCAATGTACAATGTAACTTTTCACTATTTATGTTATGAGTCCCATGTAATAGGGGGTGAGCCTATTGCCTTATACCAGGCACAATTTCAGATTCCGTGCTACTACTGAGATATTGTTACAACCCTGTAATATTGTTCTCGTTGATTTTTGTATTTATAGTTTTTATTATCACTTAAGTAATTAAATATTGGTTAACCTATAATTGGCGACTGTATAAGCCTAAATACTTAATGTTACTTTCATATCACTTAATGCTATGTATATAGAAGCTGTCGGTATACCTATTTTAACAAGTAAATAAATAAATTCTTTGCCCGACCCGGGAATCGAATCCGAGACCCCTTGCCCGGCAGTCATACTTGCGACTAGTCAGCCAACGAGGCAGTATTTATTTCGACAAATCTGTACATTATTTATTTCTCAGTTACTCTGAATAGTTTATTGATACGCCAATACTTTGGCTTTTTATGTTTCGTGCCAGTAATGTATATATCCGGTAATAAATGAATATTAATATACCTAGGCTAGAAAATTTTCAAATTTTTACATACGTAGTTTAGTAATACAACATATAAGTTCACAGATTATTTTAGAAAAAGAGATTCAATCAATAGGGCAATGTTAATGGGTGTCATTGTGTATGTGAACTTTTATGTTTGTAAACGCACCCACGACACAGGAGAAAATCCTAAAGTGGGTTTTTTTTTTAAGGGGGGAAAATCATCGAATGACTGCTCCCGCCTGGGTGAGGCGGAAGGGAGTGTCAGACTCTTACTGACTAAAAACCACCCCGTTCCTTCTCCTGCACGTCGAGCCGGAGCCCCGGTTACCCGTTAGGTTCTCCGCGACTCCTAAAGTGGGGTAACGTTTTTAGAAAAAATAAATAAAAAATTATGCAGTTTCAATGGAAGGTAGAGCTGAGAAAGAATAAATCAATTCCAGCCTGTCTTTAACAGAGGTTAAAAACATATATGTATGCATGAACATTAAAAACATATATGTACTTGAAAGTTTTGCAATCGAATGAAAAGTTAAAACTCACTTCCAAAGACAATTGGCCGTGGTTATCACAAGGCGCGGATTCAGCAGTGCCCCGGTGCACCAATGCTGGTCATCCTTCTGAATGGACACCACATAGGGATAGTCTTCAATGACCGCCTCTCTCGCCGCGATCAGCCGACGCGTAGCTGTTACAAGGGGAAGGGAATTTAAGCAAAAATAAAATCCTTTACTGTATTAACAATTTATTCATTAAACGTTATTTCTCTTGCTTTTTTTCTTATTCGTAATCGGTTTACCTTTTGGTTTCTTCGCTGCAGTGCGCGTTGCGTTATTTGATTTGGATTTAGCGCTCTTCTTAGCCTTAGATTTACCTTTGCCTTGGCTCTTGCGTCTCTGTGGACTCTTCCCACCATTACGTTTGTTGTCCTTTTTCTTATTCTTAGATCCAGTTCCTTTCGCTGTACCGTTCGCCTTAAGTTTGTTAGCGTTAGCCAATTTTTTTGCTTTCGGTTTAGATGTACGTTTTGCGCCTTTCCCCTTAGGCTTAGTTTTAGCATTTGTCGACTTTGATTTACCTGTTGTGTTTTTGCCACTAACACCTTTCCTAACACCTTTCGGTTTTGCTTTTGTCTTACGATTGTCATTTGTGGGTTTTATTTTACTTTTGGCTGTAGTTTTTAATTTATCCGTAGTTTTGGATTCGTTGTTTTTGTTTGTTTTAGCCCCATTTACCGGTGCGGCTTGCTTTTTAGTGTCTGTTTTCTTTCCAGCTTTAGTAGTGATCGAGGTTTCTTTTTTTACTTCTTTAGCGCCTACAGCTTTCTCTGGTTGGCTTCTCATCGATGGAGATTCTACTTTACCTGGTTGTTTTTGGCTTTGGTTGACGGTTGTTTTTGGTAAAGGGGTCGTTTTTTGTTCTGCTTCCGTTTTATTGTCGGTCGTTGTTGTATTAATTTTTTCATTGACGGCGCCTCTTTTGACTCTTCCCGCCGCCCAAGCGTAATCGGGTAAGATTTTCTTCACTCTGGATTTATGATTAAATCCTTCATCGATTGGGAAGTACGGACTGTCAGGAACTCCCTCGACCATCTTAGACATGCCGTGGGATACAATTTGGAAAACTGTATACGTCTTCGCCGCCGTCGTCGGAAGGCTGACGGCACTTTTTGGTTTAGTTTTAGCCTTAGATTCATACTTAGAATTGATCAGAATCTTCCCGCTACCGTAAGGTCTAACTTTCTTAGGAAACCTTTTTTCCGCATATTTGATAGAGTCTCCTATAACGTAGCTTATAATTAAAGCAAATATAAATAGCGGTACCTTCATGACTTCGGCCTGTGCGGCGCGAAACAATTCACTGGAAGTTATATTTATTGGTGTTTTTATTACTTCTCGCTTTTGTTGCGAAATAACATTTTATATTTTCCATTATTATTTTTATGGAATTAAAAATGTTTTGTTTTTTTTCTGTTAGAATTATTCGACAACGTCACTGAAAACTACCTACACACTACATCACAATATACAACACCGAAATAATTGTTAGTTTTTCCAGCTATAAGGGCTAGTTATTATCGGCGCTTCCAACCGGCCTATCTCAAAGTCAAAGTCAAAGTCGAGTCAAAGTCAAAGTCGAGTCAAAGTCAAAATCATTTATTTCAATTAGACCAGAAAGGCACTTTTGAACGTCAATATCTGGTCTGGTAGTCGTTGTCGCTTGGCTGGAAGTCCAGCAGTGGACGTCTGTTTGTTGTTACTAACATGATATTGATGATAATAATAAAAGTACCTATTTCGATGAGACCAAGTCTTGTCGAAATTATGTAGAAATGAACTAATAGTAGGCTAAATAGAGTAATGAAAATAATGTCGAAAACCAACTGTACGCAATTTGCCCACTAGACGTGATTTATGTCGCGGAGAACCTAACGGGTAACCGGGGCTCCGGCTCGACGTGCAGGAGAAGGAACGGGGTGGTTTTTAGTCAGTAAGAGTCTGACACTCCCTTCCACCTCACCCAGGCGGGAGCAGTCATTCGATGATTTTCCCCCCTTAAAAAAAGACGTGATTTATAGAAAAAGAAAAAACACTGAGTTGCGTAAAACATTTATTATTTTAAAATAAAACAAAGAACCAACATAGACTTAATATAGGTACTATAAGTGTTACGTTTGATAAAGATAATTAATGATGAAAATACATAAGAACGATAATATTAATATTTTGTAGAAATTATAAAAATATTTAGTTAGGCAAAAATCATTATCGGAATAAATCATTATATTAGGTTCATCGTAATTTTTTATATAGTAGTAATACTTAACAATTATGTAACTATTATGAAACAATAGTTCTTCTTTATACGAGGTACCAGGACTGCATACATCGAAGAAGCAAAACTTAAATTCGTCTTTTAATCTCTGGAAGCTATGTACTTGCCAGTTGATGCACTATGAGCTTGCTTGCGAGGCTTATGTAACTTCAGACAACATGATAAGCCTGTTCATTACAATTCAGTACATACTTATCGCATTTTACTATTTCATCGAAATTAAATTATGATTTTATTGATATTCATAGATAGAAGATACCAAGACTGCAGACTTCAAAAGAGCAAATATTAAATTCGGAAACTTAATCTCTAGGAGCTATTTTCTTATATGTGGCAAGTTGTACAGCCAGTTGATGCAGAATGAGTTTCCCAGCGGGACCCTCGTCTGTGGGTACGGCTTTAGATAGCCTGACGACTCTACCACATTCTCGGACGAAGTATTCTAACTCACTTTCAAGTTGACGACCGTCACCTGCAAGTAGAAATGGTATGGTTTAGAACTTTAAATCATAAATTATCAATACGATAAAGATGATGGTGGCTTGGTGCGTGAGAGGTCTTTTCTCTCCTTCTTTTATTTTTATTCTGAGTTCTCATTTATATTTAGTTCGATATGTTACAATAGTAACCGATTGATTTTAATCCTAAATCACTTAATTAAACCGATTTTGAACATCAGTTGCGGTGGTGTCAGAACTTAGACCAAGATTTAGGTCCTGTTAATGGGATAAGCTGGTAAACGAGCAGACCGGATTATCTGATGGTAAGCAATCGCCGCTCATAGCTACCTGAAACATCAAAGGCGTTACCAACTGCGGTACCGGGCTTTTGGGGAATAGAAATATCAGAATTGTTGGGGATTGAGAAAATTAGGGATGGAGGTAATAAGGCCTCCGGTAACGTTACTTACACGACGAAACACAACGCAAGCGTTGTTTGTTTCACGTCCATTTTCTGTGAGGCCGTCGTATCACTCCGGTCGAGTTGGCCCATTCGTGCTGAAGCCTGGCTCTCCCACACTTTTTTTTAAGGGGGGAAAATCATCGAATGACTGCTCGCTCCCACTTGGGTGAGGCGACAGGGAGTGTCAGACTCTTACTGACTAAAAACCACTCCGTTCCTTCTCCTGCACATCGAGCCGGAGCACCGGTAACCCGTTAGGGTCTCTGCGGCGGTTATTAGAGATGGTTATTAATTTCCAAAGCAAGAGTTACCTTGTGCCATACGCGATGAATGTGGCTGTAAACATTTGTTTGCGAGCCTCGCGAGTTGTGACCTCTCCGAGCTGAACGCCTCGTCCAGGTCAAACAGCTCCAGTGGCGGAGGAGGTGGCTCTCTGAACGTTGGTGGGAATACCTGATAGATAGTATAATATATAACGCCTTGGTTTTATGACTATAATGTTATACTATTTAATTGAAATCTATATATATAAAAGAAAGTCGTGTTAGTTACACTATTTATAACTCAAGAACGGCTACATCGATTTGGATGACAGTTGGTGGGGAGGTAAATTAGAACCAGGAGACGGACATCGGATACTTTTTCATCGATTTTTTTTTACTTTTCACCGAAAATCACGAACGGGCACGGGAAAGAACGGGATTGCGCGTACGACGTCGCGGGCAGAAGCTATATAGTAAATTAACAAATAAATAGTATTAAGGTTTAAAAAAACAAAAGTTAACTAGTTAAAGAATTTTGTCTACTGAAGATTGAAGCCTGAAAGATTGTAAAATAAATAAATCAGCTTGCAACTATCCCATTGCACAAAAAATATTTTTTCTTTCGGAGAACGATTGATCACGATGCTTAAGATTTTGCTCATACGGTAAGTACGGCGTCGCGTCGGGACCTGTTACCTATATGATATTTAAGACACTATTATGTTGAAAAGTAAATGCAGAAGTAAGTACTAAATGGTGAATGTGCCACTTGGTAAGAATGCCCCAAACACTTCATTAATAAAATGACCCTAGCGCTACTACCAGATACATTATAACTTACTGCTAACTGCAGAGGAGGAAATGGTGTCTCGAACTGTGGTGCGATCAATCGAAGAGGTTCGTGTTTAACTCCTAGTGCGTCATACAGTCCTAGTACTTCGGGCACTGGAATTTAAATACGAATAATATTAGTTTATTAATTACGTAACATAACATAACATTACGTCTTTTATCCCCGAAGGGGTGCGCAGAGGTGGACATTACGGCACTGTACTTACAATGTAACACCCACTTTTCACTATTTATTTAATGAGTCCCATGTAATAGGGGGTGAGCCTATTGCCATATACCGGGCACAATTCCAGACTCCGTGCTAACACTCAAGATTTTTTTAAAAACCCAGTAGTATTTAGCCCGACCCAGGCATCGAACCCGAGACCCCTTGCCACTTGGCCAACGAGTTTATTAATTACGATGTCGCTATATATATATTTAAAAACTATTTTTATGAATGATGTTATTGGAGGCCTAGTCCCCCAAAGGCCTGCACAGTACTTTCAAATCATCTGGGTGTTACGAGTGTCTATGGACAGCGCGAATTGCTTACCATTATGTGATCCTGTTCAGTTGATGTACTGATTAAATACCATTGCGTCATTACCTGAAGTACAGTCAGCATCAAAAGTTGATGACTACATTTAAATTTTCATAATCGCTGTACAACGTATTATACCTAAATCGCTCAACGTGACAAGCGCCAGAAATGAATGATTATCATAAAAGGGCGTAAGTAGGTGACCATTACTTTTCAAAAGTCTCCTTTCCAAAAGTACCTACTCAGAAATAGGAATAAACTTACACTGAGCCAGATTCAAAGAGAACAGTCTCCAAGTGAAGAGTGCGTGTGGATGTAGAGGAGTGAGACGCGGCGGGGGCGCGGTGGCTGGCTCCGGGAGAGGGATAGTGCTCAGCCACATCATGTCGCCTAGTGTGCGGTACTCGTTAATCTAGAAACAGATATACTTATCTCACTTTTCTGCAAAATATATCTCTGTATCGTGTATGTGAACTTGTATGTTTGTAAACGCACCCACGACACAGGAGAAAATCCTAGTGTGGGGCAACGTTTTTTAAAAAAGAAGAAAAGAAAAAAGAATATCAGTTCCTGTTCGAAATAAATATTTGAACAGACACGCGAATCAACCTCATGAATTTGGAAACCATGCTGAATAAAAGGTCACATAACATAACATAACATCACGCCTTTTATCCCCGAAGGGATAGGCAGAGGTACAAATTACGGCACTTAATACCACAGGTACAATGTCACACCCACTTTTCACTATTTATTGTATGAGTCCCATTTAATAGAGGGTGAGTCTATTGCCATATACCGGGAACATTTTCATACTCTGTGCTACTACTGAGAATTTCTTAAATAACCCGAGACGTACTTGCGACCGCTCGGCCAACGAGGCAGTTGCAAGGTATCTATTTGATTTTAAAATGGTTTAAAATCAAATAGATACCTTGCAACTGCCTCATGTGCATGTGCGCAGATTAATTGGCACGTGATCTCCGAAATCAGGCATTTGAGAAACCTATTCTGCTGAATATATATAAATAGAATAATAACAATTAGGATTGAGGAATGTCTTACGTCAGGATCCTCGACGTCAACTGGGTTGAGATGCAGGTCAGTCACGCCTCCGAGATAGTTGAATATCATCTCCCTTATCAGGTCATTGCACTCACTCTCGAGGTACTGGTCCGCGAAGAAGTGTCCTGAACCTATCACAAACAGTTTACCTGGAAAACATGAAATATATTTTAAAGACTTTCGAGATTCACAATTTCATTGTATTATCTTAAAACGAAACGAAAAGTGACTGCCTCGTTGGACGAGTGGTCGCAAGTGCGAATGCCGAGCAAGGGGTCTCGGGTTTGATTCCTGGGTCGGGTAAAGTATAACTGGGTTTTAGAAAAAAACTCAGTAGTAGCACGGAGTCTGAAATTGTGCCCGGTATATGGCAATAGGCTCACCCCCTTTTACATGGGACTAATAACATAAATGGTGAAAATTGGGTGTTACATTGTACAGCGGCATTAACTGCCATAATGTGCACCTCTGTGTACCCCTTCGGGGATAAAAGGTGTGATGTTATCTTTAGTAATGTTATCTTAAAATGCCAAAAATGTCCATAATTTATTTAATTAGCCAATAACCGATTCTTTAATTTACTTATCGTTCATGCACGTTGAACCATTAAAGAAGGTATGTAATGGGATGGTTTTTATCATCATCATCAAACAGCCTATTAATGTCCACTGCTGAGCAAAGCCTCTTCTCACACGGAGAAGGTTTGAGCATTAATCACTACGCTCACTCAATGCAGGATGGCGACTACAAACTTATAATTAGAAATTATAAGTCCAAGTTTCCCCACGACTCGCTAGACGATCTCCGGCCACCGTAAGCACGGGCCTGCGGACGGCGAGCACGGGTGACTCGCCGCCCGACCAGAACCAGGCCTGAGCGTACGGCGCGTCGCGTTCCGTGCGCGCCTCAAGGAGCCATCAGACCACCACTGATGGGGCCTAACAGGGCTGATGCCGACACGGAGCCGCGGAAGACTTAACGGGTTGCCGGGGCTCCGACTCGAAGTGTAGGAGTAGGAACGGGGTAGTTTTTAGTCAGTAAGACTCTGACACTTCCTCCCTCCTCACCCGGGCGGGAGAAGTCATTGGATGATTTTCCCCCATCAAAAAAAAGGTTTCCTCACGATATTTTTCTTCACCGTTAGTCAGTGGTGTCTAGAATAACTTACAAAGTACATATACTCCGAAAAGGCCACATTGGTACTTGCTATTGGTAGGTTTCCAACCCGCGCTGTGCATGAGAAGCCGGCCTCATAAACATGCTTTTTATACCTACGACTTTCTTATTAAAATGTGATTTAGACAACGACTAGTGTATCATACCTCCAGTCTTCTCAGAAACATACAACGCGGCCACTGGTCTTTTAACAGGATAACATACGTCACTGCTGGACAAAATGGCTGCTGCGGGCTTTTTCACCGTCATTGTCGCTCCATACGGGTACACGAAGTTTGGAGTAGCTGGATCTTCTCTGAAACATATAGATACTAGCTACATTTTACATAGCTTGAATTCTGGAAATGTAGCATGCTTAACAAAGAAGTACTTATTGAGAAGTAAAAAACATTTTAGACTGATAAAGTATGTCGCGGAGAACCTAACGGGTAACCGGGGCTCCGGTTCGACGTGCAGGAGAAGGAACGGGGTAGTTTTTAGTCAGTAAGAGTCTGACACTCCCTTCCGCCTCACCCAGGCGGGAGCAGTCATTCGATTATTTTCCCCCCTTAAAAAAAAGACTGATAAAGTATAAAAACGACCTTACAGAAAGTCATCAGACTCGCTGCTATAGTTGGGCATCTTCATCAGGTACTTGGTGACGGCTCGGTTCAGTATACCGTTGGAGACGTGACACTCTTTAGGGTGGTAGAACTTGTGGTATTTGGCTCGCACCACGCAATCTGGAAGGTATTGAGAGGTTTCAAGGCTTAAAAACTAAGCATGTTATCTACTAGGCTGGCAGGCTTAGGAGGAGTTTCAGGATTATACCAGATGCTAGAGACCTTTTATTTGAGTGTTGGTGATTGCCGAACATGTGATGTAAAAAGATAGCTGAAGTTATTAATATTACTCACCGTTATTCACCACAATTCCAAACTCCTCTAAAAAGAAATTAATATTAGTATTGGTCCGTTCTTCCCCTCCATCAGACATGGCTACCAGCACGGAGTCGCCTCTCTCCACCATATGTTTGAGAGATGATAGCTCATCATCAGTAAACGCGTTCTGAGGACCCGCCACTACCAGGATCTTGACATCTTCCAGCACATTGTTTGATATCTCTTCGCGGTTTCTGTAAGCCTGGTGCTTTTTAGTCAGGGAGTTGAGCATTACATAAAAAATCAGGGTATATCTGTACCTAGGTTTTAGTACCTATTTTTTCGAAGAAAAGGTCGATTTCAAAGATCTTACGATGTCTCAAAAACTAGAGGTCCGAGCTAGAAATAAACATATTTTCGTAACCCCTTGTAAAGAAATATCGACTGATTGCTGGGTAGCTTGCCAATAACTTTGGGCCTTACAAATTCCAAACGTAGGTAAATTACATATATGTTGACAAATATGTACCAACAATTTTAATAGGGTGGCTTACGACGAGTCATATTTAGACCTGGGGGCATACTCTTAAATCCAATTCCGATCGATCGACATTGGTATTGTGAAATTTCGTACTCCTTAGTTGCAACACTGGCGCCCATTGCATCCGTATTGCGTGGATATTGAATTAAGTAAATGGAATTGAGTTTATCTTTATATTCCGTATTCTGGAAGCTATTTTAACAGCTACGATAGGGGTTGTATAATTTTGATATTGAATTTATTCTATTTTATTTTTACTCATTGTCGCCCCCATATATATTTTTTAATATTTCTGTGGTCGTCCCACTGCAGGGCAAATGCCTCCCTACCCTCCTTCCACTCGTCTCTTCTTAAAGCTTTCTGTGGTCAATCCTTTCCATAGGCGTCAAGTTCATTCAATGACATTGAATAATTATTGAGATTTTATTAGATTGAGATTGCATTGTCATTGAAAATGGTTTCAACAGTAAGCACACAGATCATTTGAAAAACTTTCAAATATCTAATAATATCTAGAGATCGTACATAATCTTGGTGGTGTTCGTTCCTACAGAGAAATTGAAATATGCAACCTATACTTATTATACTCTTTGTATGCAACTTATGTTTTCTAAAAAAAATATATAAGTCGGCAGTGTATTGTCTACATATCATATACAATGTCAGTAACATGCAGGAGGATATCTACATAGTTAAAATTAAATGTGTGTCCTGTGTGTGTTTGGAATATTCCCTGTGTTATTTCCCTCCCATCCATACACTGACCGTGGCAAGGGTAGCTTAAGTTAGAGCTATGAATTTACTACACAAGTTTCTCGTATTGCATAACACATTCTATAAATTATTATTAAAAAGTGTGAATACAACCCACATCATAACTTTCCAAGTTGTCTTCAGCTTTCTATGCAGCATCTTATAGTTCTCATTAATCTTGAATAGTTCATTTTTAGACACGTCAAACAATATCGTATCGATTGCCTTCATTTTGTATTTAAAAACTCGATTTTTTATTTCGACGCACTTCTGTATTGTTTACAAAACTAATGTTTGCCGTTGCTTAGCAACGGATTGACAGTTGCCTAGAGTTGCCACTGCATAAAATGGTATATTGTAGAATAACATTTTTTGCTTCTGAATTAAAAAAAAAATGAATAAAAAAATTTTTTTCATCAAATTTTGAAGTGCAAATAAAAAGGGGATCTCACCATAAAAGTAAAACAACAAACGTAAATTGTCAAATAATATAATTTTATTTACAAATTGAATAATAATAACTTTCGAACTAGATTAATACGCTATTTTAAATCTAAAATTTAGATTTTTATTTACAATTTCATCTATTTCTTTCAAATAACATTCAAAAATATTGCTACGTTTCTCGTAAAATGAAGTCTTGGCGTTTAGTTGTACAGATAGCATAGATGCATAGATACAGAGGTCTTGTGGCCGTTCCAAAACAGACATTAAATAAATTGTGCTTACAGTAAGAGGAACAATTTTATTTAACAAAATGTGGAGGACGTCTTAAAAATCTGTAGTTTAGATTATTTTATGATTCACATTATTATTTATGGCATAAGCCGGTAAATCGGCGTCGCCCATGGACACTTGAAACACCAGAGGAGTTATAAGTGCGTTACCGGCATTTTAGAGGAGTTTGAGGATCGTTGGGGATTCAGGAAAGGGGAAGGGGAGGGTAATTGGGCCTCCGGTAACCTCACTTACACGACGAAACAAACGTTGCTTCACGTCGGTTTTCTGTGAGGCTGTGGTACTCCGGTCGAGCCGAAGCATGGCTCTCCCACACTTAATTATGTTTGTATTCATGTAACTGATATGAGAATTTTCCATCCACCGCTTTAAGGTGTAGGTATCATTTTACCCAATTTTAATATTATTACTTTCGTGAGATATACTAAATAAATTACTATGTTTTTCGGCTTACTTACTATCGCCCTGCTACAGTCGCCGCATCGCGCTCATGAATGTAGTATCTCTAGTATGGCTTAGAACTAGTCGATTTCTTTATCAAATAATTATGTGAGTAAGCCGAAAAACATAATTATCAACTTCAAATTGTTAAAAGCAATTCTCTATTTAACTTATTCGTTTGTCAATCAATATAGAGTATTGTTTTTATATCAATGATAAAAAATATAGAATAACTGTAAATAGCATTCCCATAAAAATAGAAACGATGCGCGCAAATTGGCATACAGTCATTCCTACAATTTTAATAATGTGAATTAATAAATAACACGGAGATTTTACTTGAATTCGCTTTAAACACAAGCTTTTTAAGAACGTCCAGAAACGGAAAACAATAAGATAATTTTATTCTATACATTGTCCTAAAAATTACTTCAATTTTCTGTACATAGTAAATATTATATAAAACTTAGAGTAGGAATGGACTTACAAAACACTATGACACTACTATTTTCAATAAATATTTACAAAAACATATTATTTCTTTTAGTTTCATTAGATTTTGAGCTGACTTTGAGCTTTTATAAACTAAAATAATTAATATATTTAAATAACTGGCTCCGAAACTAATGTTTTTATGAAAATGTACTTTTATGGAGCCGTGAAATGTTACGGACTAACTGACGAACGTACATTTTATATATATTTTGTGGGCGGGTTGTGTGTATCAAGTATGAACTTTTTGAAGCACATAATCTAAGGAGGGATTTCGATTATACGCTCAAGAGATGGCGCTAGAGAGGTATGGGCTCATTAGTCCAATCGTTTTTGTTATAGACTTTAAGCGACACCAGCGCCTCTAGTGATGCACTCTCAGTACAAAACTTCTCTACATTAAGACTGAAGAATAAGGTCCCACAAAATACCTATAAAATGTACGGAACTAAAAAAATAAAATTATCAACTTGCATAATAATATGACATAAATAAAAATATTTCGTTGATAATATAGCTATGAATTGTTTCTAACTAATATTATAGTTTAAGAATCGACATTAGTTTTGTAAAGATCTCCATATTGTTTGAAATTCCATTTCAATATATTCGACGCATATGAGATTATTTTGTCCTACTTTTGAACTCACGACTTAATTTTTGAAAGTACTCAAATCTGTTTTTCCGTTACCTGATGACAGGTATCATGGGTAGTTCTCGGTACAGTGGCCAGCAATTACAACCTACTCCAATCTGTCAAATTTATTCATTACATTTTCGACTTTATATAAGTCAATACAATAAAGTTCAAGATTCAATAGAGAAATTAGATAGGTTTATCTGCTGGCCACCGTACATTAGACACGTAGGAATCAAAGTATAATCTTAGAATATCACCGCCTGGTGAATCAGATAGTCGTGTCTTTTTATAAACGACAAAATTTCGCCTTCATCTTTAAATAGACATCCATAAAATAAATCGGAAACCGTATTTCTAACAGCGTTTTAGTATCAAAAATTTGGCTTTTGGAAGGAAGCTCTGTATTTTTATCAATTTTTCATCCAGTACTTGAAGTAATTAATTATTGATGGCCAAAAAACTCTTTTTTAGACTGTGCAGTACCAGGACAGCATCAGACTATGGGAAGTTGAATCTTTGTACAATAATGTATTTAAAACTTCCAGAGTACAATAATATTAGACCGAAATTAAATAAATACATTTTTCTATTTCGTTTTCACTCAGCAAAATGAACAATAATATCAATAAAATAATTAATATCTCTCTGAAAATAGCAAAAATAATGTCTTTTCGGTTAAAAAATGTCGCGAAAGTAACCGTTTTGTATAGCCCGAGTACCAGGGTACCAGTAGATCATAAGAAGCCCATGTCAAGCGCGTTGTAGAGGGCCGCGATGTCTGAATGGCTGGATATCCTCCAGAATGGGTAGTTCTTTGCTTTGGCGGCCGCCTCCTCGTCTTGTCCGTCACCGATGACCACGTACGTACATCGCTCGCCGAAACGCTGCTTTATTTTTTCGAAGCATGTTTCTTTGCCTGGAAAAGCGGAAGGTTTAAGTTAATACTTGGATGGATATAAGATACGATAACTATAGTTATGTGCTACTAGAGGTTAAGTCTACGACCATTAAAGTGTCAAACACCGCGAGGACATCGGTGACCGCAACCTATTGTATTGGTAACCTATGGTTGACTGTCAGAGAATGCCTTAAGGCATTAAGTCCGCCATTCACTGTTATCTTTGGTGAAAAAGTAATAATAAATAAATAAATAATAAATAAATATTGTTCTTTAATTGTGTCTATAATGACGGTACTCAAAGGGCTAAACGACAACGAGGATAATACATACATACACATCACGCCTTTTATCCTCGAAAGGGTAGGCCACTTTGGTAGGTCCACGTGGTAAGTACCAACTTTATATTACAACGTAAAATAATCTTCATGTGAATGTAAGCTGTGTTGCTTGTGAAAAGCAAACCACATTTTATTGCATGAATGGTTCAAAGACTGATTCTAAAAAATTTAAATAAGAAAAATGAATAATCAAGAGGAGAACCTAATCCCCAAGGCCTAATGCCGTCCAGTCCGCAATCGGCCGGTAATGTACATGTAACTGCTCTGGTGTTGCGGGTGTCGATGGGCAGCACTGATCACATACCATCAAATGATTTGTATATATTTTTTTTAATGGTACAAGTCCGCCACATCCTCCCAAAACCGCTGCAACTCCTGTAAGCCAGGATCTACAGTAGATACAACCATGAAAACACCGGAACACTGAAGTCCGGCGCGTCCCAGGGACATGAATAACTGTCTTAGTTCCCGCAACGAAGTGAATCAGAAGATATTATAACAAAATGATTTGTATGTTTGTTCTACCCCTTTTCCATAACAACTATGTATTACTTACCGGTTTTAGTAGCGGAGTATATGTTCTCTATGGGGAAGACTCCTCCCAGTCCAAACAATAGAACCTTCGCCAACGCGGGCACTAACTGCGTCGTCGTGACCAGCACGTTCACACAGTTCTCTCTGTAAATACAAAGAAATATCGGAATAAATAATTAAATTCAGTTTCGTACAGTACGAACTGATTACCACCACACAACCATCAACATCATCAACATATAATTATAGAAAACATATAATTATAGAAAATATACAACTATAGAAAATAAAAACTGCTGACCAAACGCCTCTTCTCATACGGAGAAGGTTTGAGTATTAATCACCACGCTTGCTCATTGCGTAAATGTGTAATAATTGCTCAAACTTATGATAAGAATTTTTATAAGCCCAGGTTTCCAGGCATCCGGTAACATCACTCACACGTCGAAATACAACACAAAGTTGTTTCACGTCGGTCTTCTGTGAGGCCGTGGTATCACTCCGGTCGAGCCGGCCCATTCATGCCGAAGCATGGCTCTCCCACACTTGCTTGAGCTCATTGGGCAATACGGCATATACGGCGCTAGCGGTCCTTTTACACGAAATTGTAGCCAGAATCCTTACTATTATAAATGGGAAAGTGAGTTTGTTTGTTTGTTTGTTCCGGTTTCACGCCGTAACTACTAAACCGATTGCTTTGAATTTTTGCACACGTAAAGTTAGAAGTCCGGATTAAATAATAGGGTAGTTTTTATCCCAGAAAATTTCGATATTCCCGAGGGAAAACCAAAAAATTGGTATAGATGGCGCTGTATGTATTGGTATATGTCACATAGGCTACTTTTATCCTTTTGTGACGCGAGCGAAGCTGCGGGTAAAAGCTAGTGTTATTATAAAAACATTCAATAATAATAATATGATATGTCTGTCTGCACGACATCTCATAACATTATGAGAGATGAAGGAACGTAGATTTTAAGCTCACATACCTGGAGTTGATCATATTGAGACACTTGCAGGCGAGAGTGAGCCAGTTGTCCGTCGCCTGTTCCAGCTCGGCGCGTAGCTGTAACCATTGCTCGCGCTTGGCGGGACCTAGTAGACCACCGACACTGTCGAAAGAACATTAAAATACAATACATTAAATTAAAATACATCTACTACCTATATAAAAGTAAGTCGGGTTTTTCTTCCTGACGGTATAACTCCAGAACGCACGAACCGATGTCCACGGTTTTGTATTCGTGGAAAAGGTTTCGGGCTACGTAAGGTTTATAACAAAGAAAATTTAAGAATTTTTTTTTCTTCATCTTTTAATCACCAAACGAAATATTATATAAAACGAAGCCATCTGGTGGCGAAACGGAGTTCGCCGGGTTCGCTAGTTTTCTATAATAACTACTATAGTGAGACATACTAAATTAACTCTTTGAGTATCGTCATTATAGACACAATTAAATAACAATAGGTTGCGGTCACCGGTGACCGCGCGGTGTTTTACAGTTTAACTAAAAATCGCAGGTTACTCACGTTACATACTGAGAAAAGCTCTACTAGTTTCGAGTCACAGAGGGGCTCTTCCTCATGAGCAGCGTGCGCGGTCGCGGCGATGTCGCGCAGCCTACGTAGCAGTAGAGGAAGGACCCCTCTGTGGTTCGAAACTAATAGAGCTTTTCTCATTATATTCACGTGAGTAACCCGCGATATTTATTGATAAAAAGGCACATAAATTTGAGCCTTTGTTTCATGGTAAGCAGGTACATAATACTAAGATTAAAGGAAATTCTTTATAATTATCATCTTTTTTAGGATATTCTCTAACATACATACTAGATAGCAACTTAGTTTCTAAAAATGTCATGTCTATTCTATCGGCATTTTCTTAGTAATAGCCACTTTAGCGCTTGTCTACAGAGAGAGTAGAAATCAAAATGTATGGGGATGACACTGACAAGTGTCAAAATTTACGTCAATTTCATATAATTTACTTTTCTACTCTACAAGTAGTTGTCTACTGTTAAGTGGCATTTGGCTACAGCTGCTGTTACGTCTAAGTTTTCTGTTTGTCCAAAACCGAAGAAGACCGTGTTTACAATTCTCAGAGTTTCTTTGCAAAAAAATTAGTCAGAATTTTAGTCAAAGTCAAAGCCAAAATCATTTATTTCAATTAGGCCAGAGGGCTTACTCTTAAATTCAATTCCGATCGATCGACATTGGTCTTGTACAATTTCGTATTCTTGAGTTTCAACACTAGCGCCCATTACGTCCATATTGCGAAGATATTGAATGAACTAAATGGTATTGTGTTTGGCTTCATATTCCGTACTCAGAATGCTATTTCAACAGCTACGATAGGGTTGTATAGTTTTGACATTGAATCATTATTGAGATTTTATTGGATTGAAATTGTATTGACATTGCGATTGGTTTCAAGAGTAAGCACCCTGGGAGGCACTTTTGAACGTCAATATAAAACTAAAAGTGAAGCTATTTGCTCATTCCAAGGTTTATGTATTGTTGCTTCCAATCCCAACTCACCTATTTCTATAATTATTGTACGTATCCTTAATTTTTCTGTATCTGAATGCGAGTTTCCTCATCCAGTCGACGCCGCCTCTCACACCAGGCGCACATAAGCCCGTGTTGGGTGCGGCGCCGGCGTGGAACCCGTCCGCTGCGAAGTTGTACGCGGAGAGATCTTGACCGTTATCGTCTGCCGCTACTGCGTCTATGTGCTCCTGGTCACAATCCTGATGAGATATGTTAACAAATGTTATTTATAATCGTATTTTACCACATTCCTTACATCGCCGACAACCATACTCCATATTTTCGAATCTGCTTCAGTTTTTTTTTTTTTCGTTTAAAAAAAAACGTTGCCCCACACTAGGATTTTGTCCTGTGTCGTGGGTGCGTTTACAAACATACAATATCACATACACATGACACCCAGACCAGTAACAACAATTTGTGGATCACACAAAGTGTTGTTCCGTGCGGGAATCGAACCCGCGACACGTTGCACGGCAGCCGGTTGCCCAGCCACCGCACCAACCGTACTTCTGCACGTTGTTGCAAATATTTTTATAAATAAATCAATTGCAATATTTATTATCTTTGTCTAGCTGTGCAAAGTACTAGGGTAACATGTTAAATAAATATTTTGTACTAGCTTCTACCAGCGGCATCACCCGCGTTTCCAGGGCACTGACTTGGAGCGAGGAGGACTGGGATGCAGTCTCCTTCTTTTGCGAAGCAGTCATGCTAGCTAAGGAGGAGGACCCCTACTATTTATTTATTTTTTTACATTTTTAATGTACAGAATTTACACTTCTACAGTTTTATTATTATGTGTGTGTTTTTATTAAGTGTGGGTGAGCCATGCTTCGGCACGAATGGGCCGGCTCGACCGGAGTGATACCACGGCCTCACAGAAAACCGACGTGAAGCAACACTTGCGTTGTGTTTCGTCGTGAGAGTGAGGTTACCGGAGGCCCAATTACCTTCCCCTTCCCCAATCTTCCCAATCCCTGAATCCCCAACGATCCTCAAACTCCTAATCCCCAAAAAGCCGGTGACGCACTGTGAGGCGTTACAGCCTCTGGTGTTCCAGGTGTTCATGAGCGACTCCGATTGCTTACTATCAGGTGATCCGTCTGCTCGTTTAACGGCTTATGCCATAAAAAAAAATGTATATAGTATAGATGTACTTTAAAAATAGTTTACCTCAACATCATTGAAGAAGAAGTGTGTATCTGCTAAACTAAATATCATTTCTTCCATCCTAAATCCCAATTGAACTATTTGTTGTGTGTCCTGGAAAAAAGGAATAATAAAATTAGCTTTTTTATATGTGTTGGGCCGACATTTGACTACTATCCCGCCTGGTGGTAAGCGATGATGCGGTCTACGATGGAGCACGTCGTCCCATAAGCAACCTATTCACTCGGGCCTTGAAGACACCCAGGTTTTACGCTTCAGGAAGTACAGACTCAGCTTTACTTTTACTTGCATAAAAACCTGCTTCTAACAATAGCAAACATTTTGCAACTTACAACGTATTGTTCCGTGCAGGAATCGAAACCACGACACGTTGCACGGCAACCGGTTGCCCAGCCACCGCACCAACCGTGTAGTCACATGAATTATTAATAAGTAAATATTCTTTAGAAACATAATGTATGACAAACCTTATTGTACTTAGTAGCGTAAGTCCCAGTGAGTAGTGAATGGAAGATGATGATGGTCTCGTCCAGGTCCCAGATGAACACCCTGTCTGTGGCCGGCTCCGGTACATGTTGGGCTGGAGACGAGGATGTGTTGCGTCTGCCACGGCCACGGGAACGTGAGGCTGTGCTTTCCCTGGAGATTAGAAGGGATTATTAACCGACTTTCAAAAAAGACTGCCTCGTTGGCCGAGTGGTCGCAAGTGCGACTGCCGGGCAAGGGGTGTCGGGTTCGATTCCCGGGTCGGGCAAAGTATTACTGGGTTTTTAAAAAATCTCAGTAGTAGCACTGAGTCTGGAAATGTGCCCGGTATATGACAAGAGGCTCACCCCCTATTACATGGGACTTATAATTATAACATAAATAGTGAAAAGTGGGTGTTACATTGTATAGTGGCATTAAGTGCCGAAATGTGCACCTCTGCCTACCCCTTCGGGGATAAAAAAGCGTGAAATTACGTGTCCTGTTGTCCTGTAATAATAGATATAGATAAATAACTTAGAAACCGACTGCAGCGCCATCTGCCAGGGTTAATTTGTGAATCTAAACCATTCCCAGATCCCCTTGAACACACACAAAAAATTTCATCAAAATCGGTCCAGTCGTTTGAGAGAAGTTCAGTGACATACACACTCACAGAAGAATTATATATATAAAGATTTTGCTGTATTCTCATTACTTACCCTGAATTCTCTCTACATCTTCTACTGGCTGCGTGTACTTCTGTTTTGATAGGAGACAGTGGACTCGTGTCATTTATTGATGGCAGCATTGATGATGGTGATTCTGTACAAACAAGATTTAGGAGTTTTTTAGAGACAGTACATAATGTTAGAAGAGTTATAGGTACTCAATGTTCATCGTATTTGTTAACTTTTTATTGAATTTATATTTCATTTCATACTAAATATAATACCTTTGTCTTCAAGTTCAACAAACCAAGTAAAACTAATAAACATATGTCACTACATTTTAACTCATGCTGAAATATGTCACTATAAATTCTTTCTAAAGTGACAGAGATGGCACGATATTTAACTTCAACTTAAAATGGAGTAGCTTTTTAGTACCTATTTGGGTGCAAATTAAGTATCTGAAGTGAAGATTTAGGACATTTCATAATTAGGTATGTTTATAGATAAAGTTAGCACAAAGTAATTATAATAAATATTCACACTTCAATACAGCTATTTCCAGACACAGTACATTCCTGTATATATTCGTATAAACTTTATATTGAACAAAATAGAAAAGGTTATAAAACAACTACACTTCGTAACTTTCGCGGACTGCATTCAAAACTTTTTCGAACGAACACAATTCTTAATTTAAAAGTTCAAACACTCGTACCATCATCACTATCTGTATCCGGCCAGTAATCTGAATCATCGTATCGAGATTCCGAAGCGTCTCCATCTAGTTTCCTTCGCTTATTTTTGTTAAAATTTTCGTTCTCCTTATTCATATTTTGAGCACCAAAAACCCTGATTATTGTTTACAGAATGAATCTTCAGTCTTTATTAACGACGGATTGATATGAACACATAAGAATGTTTAATCTATTTTGTTGTAAATATAAGGCATTTGTTTTTAAAACATTACTTTGTAAACATTTAAACTGAGGCAACAGCAACAAGTCTTGTGATGTGATTGATGTCAAAATGTGTCACTGTCAAACTTCAGATTTGAGTTCTGACGTTGTCATGACGGGTTGCAAGCATTGAATTGAAAAGTCCCGTTCTGAAATATGTTTCGTAAATTCACATCGACGACATCTATTCTGATTTCATGATTTCAAACATTTATGTTCCTTTAATAACTTATTTAAGCCTTCTTTATATTTAAATTACCCATTATTAGTAATTTTAGTTTGTATTTTTTTTTAAAGCAGAGCTGTATTTATTGTATCGAACTTCAAAATGTGATATTGGACATCTCCCTATTCTTGTGGTGTTACTATAATTATAACATGGCAACATTTTACACTTGGTTTCGTTCGGAAATATATTTTAAGTTTTCGTTCAGAATTTAAAAAATACAGTTTTAAATTATTTTGTCTGGAACAATATTTGATATTTACCTGATAAAGCTCCTCCTAAATGATATGAAGTGTGTCCCGCACTGCCACTGCTGCTCGGCGAGCTGACATAAGGAGAATAACTAGGTGTAGCGTAATATCCGCTGTATTGGGCCACATTGTGGTCCGCGTAGCCTGCCGCATAGCTGCTGTAGTCCTAAGAATAACATTAAATATTACTTTATTTATATCAGTGAGAAGGTGAAGAGTGTAATCAAGTGTTTTTTTTAAGAGTCTTTCATAAATTTTCGCACTTAAAACGGATACTTATGTACTTAGGTACTTTTGTTTTGTGTGTCAAAGTCTTTACCTGTTGTGCGGTAGGAAAAGATTGCGCCAATCCTCCGTTGTACGAAGAATAGGCGTAAGGTGATGGCTGCGTCCCAAAGCCGGTGCTAGGCACTCCACTAACTCCACTCACGCCGTAAGCACTCAAGTATGTCGGCGTTGCTTTGCATGACGACCTGGGAAGATAATAGGTACCAATAATGATATGAACAATCTCTTCATGCTTATAAGAGCCTGGTGCATCTGATGTAGGATGTGAACTTGGTTATTTATAGTGATCAAATTCTAGTTTAAGGTAACCGATTCCATAAGTCTATCGATATTGTAGTTGAAAGTGTCAGTAACTTCTAGGCTCCGTGGTTTTGACAACAAATCCAAAGAGATACTGTATCAGTAACTAAACTTGCATCCTAGAGGCATCAAAATTGCGTCGCCGACCACTAGGAAAATGTTTAATTGCATTCCATTGTGCATAATTTTCGAAGAGAGCTTGCTAAGTTTAATTCTTCTATTTGAGGCTTTTATAAATATTATATAAGTATTTCCAAAAGTCAATAGAACGAAGTCCGGTTGGAAAAAACCATCTGGTATTCTTACATACCTGTTAGTTGTATTATGTTGTGGCGGGTACGCGCCGTACGGCTGGTTGTACAGCGACGAGCTGACGTACGACGAGGCCGCGCTGCCACTACCATATTGCTGCATGCTGTACCAATTAAATAAAGCATTATAATAGTTGGTAATGAAACAGAAAGGAAATACATAAATATCGTGTATAAAAATTGGCCCAATCGGAACGCTATCATATATAATATGATTAAACAACGCCCCTAGCGGATTAAACTAAGATTACTTCATGTGGTTAGTTCTGCTACTACACGATAGATGGCGTATACAGTCTATTTTCGTGAACTGTTTTACAAACTCGTCTAAAGAATGACGAATGATGGCGACGGGTGAAAATACGACTATAAAATAATTGATGAATTCAAATTAGATGTTTCCTATGCCTTCATCATAATTATTAATTACTAGCTGACTCGGCAAAATTCTGACCGTCTAATTTGTTTGTTCTCAATTTAGTTCAGTTCAACTTTATAATACTACTAGCCTTTACCCGCGGCTTCGCTCGCGTCACAAAAGAATAAAAAGTAGCCTATGTGACATATACCAATACACACAGCGCCATCTATACCAATACTTTTGTTTTTCCTCGGAAATATCATTTTTTCCGGGTTAAAAAGTACCCTATTATTTAATCCGGCCTTTTAACTTTACGTCTGCAAAAATTCAAAGCAATCGGTTGAGTAGTTACGGCGTGAAGGTGGAACAAACAAACAAACAAACAAACTCACTTTCAGATTTATAATATTATATATATATATATATATATATATATATTATATATAATATATATATATATATATTTACATCCTAGAATCGTTTTGGCGTCACACATGTTGCGCATCATTACGACGTCCCCCAGTTCCCGTTAATTTTTTTTATATGTCTTGATGAATATTGCTTAGTTATTCGATTTCCAACTTTGTAGAATACGTCATTTTCCGATAATTTTATTTTTCGCGATATTCTTCTTGCAGTCATGCTGCAACATTTTTGAACCCCAAACCATCGTGATAATAATTGGGCTCCTAGATATATTGATCGTGATTTAACCATGGCTTCGGCTAATTAACGTCCTCACAGGGTGGATGGTATTTGCGAGTGCAACGTTGCCAGCTTTGCGTTCACTTGTCTCTTTCTTTTTCTCTCTCTTGTCACTCGTCTGGGACAGAGTTTTAACAGTATTACAATATTCGTAAAATCTATCAATACATATACTAATGCCCGGTATTGGTATAATATTGGTAACAAGATGCAAAAAATTGAGGTTTCTATGAGATTTTTACATGAGAAGATGCCGCAGTAGGAATAACATACTTTTTAAATGTAGCTAGATGATCTTTCACAGTTATAGAGCCCAATAGCTATTGGGCGTCCGTATATAGTTATTAATCATCATCAGCCTATTTAAGTCCACTGCTGGACTAGCACCATCTACTGGGCTACGTTAGGAATTCAAAAATGGTCATGCAAATTTCAGTTGACCCAAACGCTATGGTCATCAAGTAAAAAGCTACATCACTATACTGCTCACACACGGAAATGGGAGGTCCGTTGATTGCGGATCCTGACAATTGACATGGTAATGGCAGGGGTCTCTTGCGGAGCCTGACGATGGCCATGCGCGCGAAGAAAATTTCTTCCTCAGCAGGTATCATGTAAGATCACTTAGCTATCGAACGTCCGTATATAGCTATTGGGCGTCCGTATATAGCTATTGAACGTCCATATATAGCTATTGGGCGTCCGTATATAGCTATTGAACATCCACGTACTTCCTCAGCAGGGTTCGTGTTAGATTTGAGGAGTGGATTGAGAGACAGAGACGCTACGACGTCTTTACCTACCGCTTGACGCAGGTGCTTACCGGACACGATATTTTCGGTAGGTTCCTGCTTCGGATTGGGCGGGAGGAAACGCTCGGGTGTCATCATGGCGAGGGCCACCCGGGAGACACGGTGTAGCATACGGTGGCAGTGTGCCCTGCGTAGGCTGAACACCGTCGTGTCCTCAGGAATGTGATCGGCGACGGCGACCTCTCGCGTCCGACACTGGTTCAGACCATGGTACAGAGTGAGGGAGACAGGGATGCCGTCTCCTCCTTCTGCGCCCGAACAGAACCAGACCCGAACGTACGGCGCGTCGCGTTCCGCATACGCCCCAAGGAGCCATCAGACCACCACGGATGGAGCTGATGCCCATACGGAGCCTCAGAAGACTTAAAGGGTGACCGGGGCTCCGACTCGAAGAGCAGGAATAGGAACGGGGTGGTTTTAAGTCAGTAAGAGTCGGAAGTTACCTGTGTCTGATGGGGCGGGAGGAAACGTCCGGGTGTCATCACTGTGAGGACCGCCCTGAGGACACGGTGGAACACACTATAGCGGAATGCATTGCGTGGGCTGAGCACTGCCGTACCCTCAGGGAAGTGATCGGCGATGGCGACCTCTCGCGTCCGGGCCTAGTGCAGGCCATGATGCGGAGCGAGGAGGACTGGGATGCCGTCTCCTCCTTTTGTGAAGCATTTAAGATAGCTAAGGAGGAGGCGGGACGCATGAGGCAACGAAGCGCTGCCTCCTCGCAACCCAGCCATCGCGAAGGACACACCGGGCGTCGGGGATCGCGGGACGATCTCCGGCCACCGTAAGCGCGGGCCTGCGGACGGCGAGCATGGGTGGCTCCCCGTCCGACCAGAAACAGACCTGAACGTGCGGCGCATCGCGCGTTCCGCGTGGGCCTCAAAGACCATAAAACCACACAGATGGGGCCAACAGGGCCGATGCCGAGTCGGAGTCGCGAAGAACCTAACGGGTAACCGGGGGCTCGGCTGGACGTGCAGGAGAAGGAACGGGGTGGTTTTTAGTCAGTAAGAGTGACACTCCCTCCCGCCTTACCCAGGCGGGAGCAGTCAACCGATGATTTTCCCCGCTTAAAAAAAAGTCAGTAAGAGAACTTCCTCTGAAACTTCCACTCGCCTCACCAGCGCGGCCGCCGGCGAAAGGCATTGGATGATTTATTATCCCTCAAAAAAAAGGTATATGTTAGATCACCTAGCTATTGATCGTCAGTATATTGCTGTTGAACGTTCGTACATACCTATTAGGCGTCCGAATATAGCTATTGAACGTCCGTATACAGCTATTGGGCGTCCGTATATAGCTATTGGGCGTCCGTATATAGCTATTGAACGTCCACGTATAGCTATTGGGCGTCCGTAATTAGTGAAGAATAAGAATATATCTTTTTACTAGAATGGTTTTATTAAATATATATGTTCAAAACTTCTTTCATTTAGGCTGGTTTCAGAGCTAGAGGATTGGGCAGCGCTGCTGAAATGCCTCGCGCTTGGAGATGATGAGAGCTCTCTTTTTTTTTTTTTTTTAAGGGGGGAAAATCATCGAGTGACTGCTCCCGCCTGGGTGAGGCGGAAGGGAGTGTCAGACTCTTACTGACTAAAAACCACCCGTTCCTTCTCCTGCACGTCGAGCCGGAGCCCGGTTACGCGTTAGGTTCTCCGCGACTCCGAATCGGCATCGGCCCTATTGAGCCCCATCTGTGTGGTGGTCTGATGGCTCTTTGAGGCGCGCGCGGATGATGAGAGCTCTAGCATCTTTTTATTGCGACGAACTGTCATAGAGGTAGAGGTCCCAGTAGAGGACTTTTTCGCTAGAAATTATGATCTATGAGATACACTTTTATTTTAATCTAAACCTTAAGTAACTGAAGACCGCACCTAATTGATCTTTGTGCGCAAATATTGTATTGAATTTCAATTTAATTTAAGGCAAGATTCCTAATTTAATACTTCTAGATGTGGCCACTCGATTAACTCCTCTATTGGATTGTTGCCTGATGCCTCTATTGTTGAAGCCCGCGCTTCGGCCGCGCTGCCCATGTCCTCTAGCTTTGAAACCAGCTCTAATTGTATCAAATATTTAATTGGTAGATTATTGATATGAAGTTACCAATTCTAAGTAAGCCAATAAAAACAAAGAATATGGATATCATTTTACTGCCTCGTTGGCCGAGTGGTCGCAAGTGCGATCGCCTGGCAAAGAGTCTCGGGTTCCATTCCCGGGTTGGGCCAAGTATTACTGGGTTTTTTCAAGAGTCTGGAAGTGGGCCCGGTATATAGCAATAAACTCACCCCCTATTACATGGGACTCATAACATAAATAGTAAAAAACTGTGGATATTACATTGTACAGTGGCATTAAGTGCCGTAATGTGCATTTCTGCTTACTCCTTCGGGGAAAAAAGCGTGATGTTATGTTATGTTAAATATGGATATCACTTTTAATGAAGTGGTTATGTTTTGTAATCAAAAACATTTATAATTCCTAATTGGATCTTTATAACACGCCAAGGCTAGAAATAAGAAGACAAACGTTGATTGATTTGATCAGTAATACAACATTAATTAATTATTCAGTGTTAGATGCATCTTCTAACCACATAAATAGATAAAGTTAATAAAATTACGTCAAAATTTATACGGAGACTATACTATCTAAATACACATTTAATTCGAGTTAAACTCTGGTTAACCTTTTTTGTGGCAAGACATCAAGACATAATTTTGTCACTTTAGTACTTATTTCTAAGATCCATTTAAGGAATTAATTTATACCCTCATTATTTATAATATATCACTGATAGGTACTCATTTACAAATTGAGAACAGGGTTGCAGACATGATTATAATAAAATCGGACTCCAAATAATACGCAACACATCCGAAATGTACGACGATGAATATTGTTTTGAATGCGGTAAATAATATTATAACTATTTCCACGGATTTACTGAGCGAACTGGCAACGTCGCTGTTATTTTTTTGAGGACGCCAAATACGCGGACTTTTAATCAGAAAATCCAAAAATATACAGCTGTGGATATACGCGTACAGCAGCGCTCTATCTACGCTGAGATTTCTTTGGGAACTTTTCAAAATACTATAACAGCCATTGAACCGATCTTTTGGCCTCTGTCGATTTTTAACCTACGTGCAGCCAGGACCAAAAGGACTAAGTAGCATAGGCCAAAAAAGTGGCGTCGGTAATGCGGACGCCACAGCAGGTGGACGCCAGATTAAATGCACTTTCGCCTTCATGGGACGTCCAATCGATAGCGGGATGTAAATATATATATTATATATATATATATATATATAATATATATAATATATAGTAAGGATGAACATTTCAAGACTAAAATTAGTCATATGGGTTCAGCCGTTCTCGAATTTTAGCGAGACTAATAAAGGGAAATTCATTGTTATTTATGTAGATTGGTATCTAAATGCTATCTAAAATGGCCTTTAAAAAAAAACTTAAATCTTTAGGTTTTAATAAAAAATACGATAAGCCTATGCTCATAAATGAGCTATGTAACTTCTTCCTAATAATAAAATAATTCCTTTTGATTAATAAAATGAAACAAGATTACAGTTACGTAAAAACGGACGTCAACGACCGCTTATGAGGAGTTTATGAAATTCAGACACTTTTGTAGCTTCCCTAAATCCGTATAGTTCGTAGCCTTGTTTGTTATTTAGGATGTAAGTACGATAGTTCCGTCATCGTGACCGATTATCAGGGTTCATTGTAGGTACCTACCCTTTTCATTTATGTTCACCTGGTACAACATACTTGAAATCTTTAGTTGTTAAATATATGCATGTCTTTTCGTATTAAATATATACCAACTTAAGATACTAAAAGATAAAAAACAAAAAAAGAAAACCATTTACACAGAGCATCGAAAAATTTGTCCGCATCAAAGTCAATAGGGAAAGTACCCAAAAGGCTTTTGCACGCATAGATGATTTCTATGCAATTATAAGATTGTGTATTTTGTATTGTAAACTTGTGTATGTCTTGACTAACCATATGGATTGTATTATCTGAATAAATAAATTGATTGATTGATTAATTGCCACGTTGTATGACGAGATGCGTCGACCAGGCGTTTTGAAATGTTTTTGAGTAATGTATGGGTACTCGGACCCCATGGACCTAACGTCTCAACCCCAAAGGGCTCAAAGATATAATTACTAGGGTTGTTATACTTGAGCCGCTTGAAGTTTTCTGCAGAGGAAGCAGCCGAACCAGCACAATTCACAGTTATTGGAAGATGGGAAGGGTGTCGACGCAGGTTGCGTCCCACACCAAAGACCTTCCCAGCTTCCAGGGCATAATGGACATACTGTTCTTGAATGAAGTAGGTACCAGGATTACATGAGAGGTGGGGAGGAATTTGTTTATATTGCTTTTTTTAAGGGGGCTATTATCGAATGACTCCTACTGCCCTGAGCTAGGCAAGAGAGTGTCAGACTCTAACCGATTATAAACCACCACGTTCCTACTCCTGTTGCGAACTGGAATTGCAGTATGTTATTATGCTTGACTCGCAAACACTTGCAGAGTTTGGAAGTAAGATTTTGGTGGACCTTACCTATTATAATACTGGTAGGGCAGCGTGGACTGGTCGTACGGCAGCGTTTCGCCGTACAGCGCCACGTCTGCTTCGCAAAGGCCCGGGCTACGGACCTCGCTCTTTACACCACCTGCCATAAAATTCACTAGTGATTAATTTGAAAGCATCTAAATAAAGACAATTTGTTTTTTGTTAGACAGAATACTTACCCGCACTATCTTCATTCATCAACCAGGCGACCGCAGCCGACGAGGAGGTAGAACAAAGTCCTCCGGTCGACGTCAACGGCAATGCCAGCCCAAGCGATGAACTCGTTGAGCATCCGTTCGCCAAACTACAGCTTTCAACCTCTGAGGTACCAGGCAAACATAAGCTGTCAACAGCTGATAAACTCAGCGCTGTGTTGGTGGTCGTGGTTGAGTTCTGGAATAACGTGGATGCCCCAGATACTAAGAGAGCTGGCAATGTCGCATCCTGCAGCAGCGACGGTGGGGAATTTGATGTTGATTCTGATTCGCAGGGGCTTGTGTTGACTTCGCCAGATAGTCTGAAAGAAAAAAGACAAGTTGAAGTAAATATTCTAAGGTCAAATTTTATTTGTGTCCACAAGATTTTCTATAGTGGGCTATTTTATTTTCAAGGCGTTTTAGTTCAAACAAAACTTGCTCACAAAATTGGGCATAAAAACTTCCTTAACTTTGTTTACCAAAGAAGCAGTGAGTCTGACAATTAACGCGCGCTTGTTTGTTTACAAAGTAACAGCTTTTTAAACGTCTCTAACAAAACGGCCGCGGGCTACAATAACAAACGGTGTAAAAATCCATAAAACCTCTTCCCATCCCTGATTCCTTGGTAAACAAAGTCCTGATGTCTTCATTTGAGAATGATAAAGAAACAATTAATTTGATTGCTGGTTTCACCGAAGTGGACCATTAAATTGAGCCTTATTGAATCTGTTTCCGCAAATAAAAAGTTACAGCTTACGACTTATAATTGGGTTTGATGGCTCTTCTCGATAAGAAACAGTCACTTATTTGGCTTAAAATTGATAACTGAAAACGATTTTTTACCACGACGGTGATGTCGGTTACGACCTGACATACTCTTTGTAGATATGAATTGACTATAATGCGTAAACTTATTCAAAACGTTTGCTAACTTTGAACAAAGTACTCGACCAAGATTATTTAAGTATTTCAAAACACAGCTATTTCAGTAAGTTCTTTCCGAAAACTATGTTAACTACATATTTCAGAGAACTTTGTGACGTCACATTACTTAATTAGAATTTAAAAAACAGAGACAGTGAGCCGTCTAAAGCATTTGTGGCTTTTCTGAAGTGGTTCACATAAAATTCTTTCTTTTAAGTCTGTCTGACGAGACGACGATGACCAAAAATTTCCAGGGAATCCGTTTGTAAGTGGGTTGTTAATCTGTAATATTTGCTAAGAAAAACCTCATTTTTAGTACAATTCTTGAAATCAGAAGCCGCTTTTTTTACGCTGTATTATTTTGGTCTGAATTAAAAGTGGATAGCAAACATTTGAATATAAAAATATGGGTAGGTACAGCGTGGCAAAAAAGAATTAGGAATTACTGAGGTCAATAGTACCGTACCTCTGAGGCAATCTGGTATACTACGGCTCAATCGGGTTTGTTATTTTATATTTTTATCGAGTTTAAAAAGAGGAGGTACTATGTTCGGGTGATTGTTATCGTGATTCGTGGGATATGGTCTGAAATGGGTGATTTAGTCCAAGTCAATATTAGTTGCAGCTGTCGTCGCGTCAAACTATTTTTTTGCCAAGTTGTAAGTCTCGTCATTTGCTTTGGATAAATAAACATAAAACATATATTTTCTATTCTAATTACTCCACTATCAGCGCCTGACAACATACAATAATAATCATAACATGACACATTAATAAACAGAACATATTGCCCCAATTAAGAGCGTGTTAAAACAAAAAAAATCACAAGCTGTTTATACTAAATTAGTATCATTAAAACAAATCACCAGAATCGTATAACAGATGCCACAGAGCTGGCCCCCTATCTCTCGGGACGATGGAATTATCAAACAAAATGTTTACACGTGTTTCGATTAATTAAGTCCCTTATCACAGTTTGTGAACGCAGCCCTTTCGTCCGCCATATTTAATCAAATTCCCGCGCTGTCATTCTGACAACCGTGACGTCAACTTTTTTGCGTTTGCTTTATGCTAATTTGAAGTCGTAAAATAATAATAAAATTAAATTGTTAGCGACTGTTATAAATGTTTTCTTTTAAATGTTATGACAAAGTTATTGAAATATAAAAATTAATAATTAAATTATGACTATTGTAAGTAGGTAGGTATGTTATCTACACATTTTTATGCGAATCATAAATTTTGATTAAAATAAAATAACTTGTCGTCAAATTCGGTTGAAACAAGAATAGTAAGAGACCGTTGTTGGTTCAGTAGATGTTAGAAATATTGGGTCTTAGAGAGGCAACCATTGTGCTATAATAGTGAGTCAATCTAGCTATAGTTAATGTAAGATTGAGATTGAGATAAATTTTAACTGAGGAATACCTTTCAATATTTGACAATTCTTCCGTAGATACTGAAAACTGTCAACTGTCAATTTTATTCTACAGTTACAAATTAACTGGTGATTGAAAAATCGGCCCTAAATAACTCTTTACTCTAAGGTCATCCCGAGTTCACACTTCACAGTTAACCTCGTCACCATTAAAGATAACCATTAATTAATTAAAATAACCCATTATCGAACTAACAATACATTAATTCATTAATAAACGATAAAACAACAGCGATCCAAAGTATTATAACCACACCCAATCACGTTTTGCGCAATAAAATACTTTAAGAACATAATAATAAAGTCAAATCTATGTTAATGGCGCTTTTTAGCATAACACCTGTTTAATTTCTATATGAATATTTGCATGTATAATTCTAATTATGTCACTGATTCATTGATTTGTAATATGCATTTGGCATAGCGAGTTACAATAAAAAGAGTTGGTAACTTTTTGGATCAACGGGGGGTCGAGGTTTAAAGACTCTGTACCTAATTTTATAGTGCAGTGCAGCTAGACTTCTAGACTAGATTTCGATCACGGTGATGTATCTCAGAATAGTCACCTTTGCAGGAGAAATTATTAAATTAAATCAAGTGTGGGAGAGCCATACTTCGGCACGAATGGGCCGGCTCGACCGGAGTGATACCACGGCCTCACAGAAAACCGACGTGAAGCAACGCTTGCGTTGTGTTTCGTCGTGTGAGTGAGGTTAGCTAGGCCCAATTAACCCCCCCCCCCTACCCCTAGCCCTCCTCTCATTCCCAACAATCCTCAAATCCTAATCCTCAAAAGGCCGGTAACGCACTTGCAACGTCTCTGGTGTTCTAGATGTCCATGGACGGCGCCGATTGCTTACCATCAGGTGATCCCTTTGGTCGTTTACCGTATTATGCCATAAAAAATTAATTAAAGTATGTGTGAAGACACAGGTGCAGTTATTGTTCCTTCTACTCATAATCCGACAGAAATGGAACAGTCAGGAACAGCGAGAGAATAGATTCTGCTACATTTCTTTCGGTTATACATTTCCAAAAAAGAAGGGATAGTAAACGTAGTTTATTAAAGAATTATATTAATCCAGTCGGAGCCAGCACTGAAAGTTACTTAACCATGTTCTGCTGAACTCTGAACCTCTAAAACTAGCTAAAGATAGAAACCCTTGTCAGATTTTTGAGCTTTTGACTAGACGTAAAGACCTTTGACAACGTTTTTTTTAACGGGGAAGTTATCGAATGACTGCCCCCGCCTGGGTGAGGCGGGAGGGAGTATCAGACTCTTACTGACTAAAAACCACCCCGTTCCTTCTCCAGCACGTCGAGCCGGAGCCTCGGTTACCCGTTAGGTTCTCCGCGACACCTTTGACAACTTGGATCGAATTTGAGATCATCATCGAGCTCTCCGTGTTGTAATCAAGTTTCTAGTCCTCAGTTCTTAATAAAATACTCTTTACCTACCCAGGTCAGTTTAAACCTTTTTTTATATGTTCTGTGGTTTAAACCCTGAAAACGTTTTCCTCACTATAACCGTGTTCATGAGATGACTAACCGATTCTGTATGGTAAAGTTTCGAACGTTTTTCTTTAGGTACTCATTAAAACATGGTTGTATACTTGTTGTAATTACAATGTACGCTGTACGCTAGACTTTAAACGATGTTTAAAATATTAAGCGCACAATTAAACATCGTTTTAATTGCTATCGAACAGCAATTACAGTTTTATGTCAGCGCGGTAGCAATTATATTTTAATGAGCGATTATATAATTCATGCTTTATACGGGAATTGATCGGTGATATTTGGTAAATAGCTGATCCCGTATTTACTAGCGGCGGCGTGTCCCGAATCTGATAGACATAATATGGCTCCTCACAAACATTTTGTCATTGTTGTTAGTTCATATTTTTATTTTATCAAATGAATATTTTGTAATTCAAGACATAATAATATCAATTATCAGAGCTTCCGTTCTAAGCCATCCTTACTATATTATATTATATTATATTTTATATTAATATTATAAATCTGAAAGTGAGTTTGTTTGTTTGTTTGTTTGTTCCACCTTCACGCCGTAACTACTACACCGATTGCTTTGAAATTTTGCAGACGTAAAGTTAGAAGTCCAGATTAAATAATAGGGTACTTTTTATCCCGGAAAAATGTGATATTCCCGAGGGAAAACAAAAATATTAGTATAGATGGCGCTGTGTGTATTCCTGTAGATGGCGCTTTGTGCCATCTAAAACAATTCAACGAATTACCTACTAATTGGAAATTTCACACTTTAATCTATAGCGCTTATTTGGTGTTAATCTACACTTATTCAGTGCGCTTTTCGACTCATTTATTTGCTATTTTATATGTAAAAATACTTAAAAAACACAACGTGGTAACGTTGTGTAGTAGTTACGCTACTTGGCGATAGATGGCGCTGAGTGTTTATAAAATGGGGTAGCGTTGTGCTTTTAAAGTACTTTTATCGCTTTTAAATTTTGGTTCCTACCATTTTACATTGAATTGTGTATTTTATAGATTTGAGGTTGTTAAAGGTACATGAAATTGGTGTAAAGGTAGTAGTTACGCTATTTTTTAAGTATTTTTGCTTTTAAATTTTGGTTCTAACCATTTTACATTAAATTGCGTATTTTATAGATTTTAGGTTGTTAAAGGTACACAAAATTAGTGACGCTACTAATGTAGTAGTTACGCTACTTGGCGATAGAGTGCGCTGAGTGTTTGTAAAACGGGGTAACGTTGTGTTTTTTAAGTATTTTTATCGCTTTTAATTTTTGATTCCTACCATTTTACATTGAATTGGGTATTTTATACATTTTAGGTTGTTAAAGGTACACGAAACCATAGTGGCAACAATACTCAACAATTAGCAAATATATTGTACGCTGTTGTTTCAACGCTCGATAGATGGCGTTAGGATCGAGTTAGATGGCGCTATGGTTT